TGGCAGTATGGAGAGAGAAGAGAAGAGGGCCCATATTTAGTGGTAGTAACAGAAGATCCAGAAAAAGAGACTGAAGAGTAATTTGGTAGGAAATAAACCAGGAGAGAGCAGTGTCATCAAAACCCAGAGGAGAGAGTATTCGGAAGGTGACTGATAGTATCAAAGGCTGTAGAAAGGTCAAGAAGGTTGAGGAATGAGAAAAGAACATTAGATTTGACATTTAAAAAATCATTAGTAACTTTGAAGAGGATTAGTGGCAGTTGAATGATGACATTGGAAGTCAGATTGTAGACATTTGACAAGAGAGTGAGAGGACAGGAAGTGGAGGCAGCAATTGTAATGACTCAAGTTTCACCTTGAAAGGGAGGGGAGAGAGGACAATACCTGGAGAGAATGGTTGGACCAAGTTAGGGCTTTAAAGATATGGGGAAGACATAGATACATTTGTAGGCAAAAGGGAAATAGCCAAAGGGAGAGATTAGGTGGGGATGATACAAGGGACAATCTGCTAGAATTGCTTGTACATGTAGAGAGGTCTGCCTTTGCAAGGAGGGAGGGCTACCTCTTCATGTGAGATGGGTGAAGGAGGAGATAGTGGGGGGAAGGCATTTTGAGTTACATGAGATGAAAAAGAGTTGAAGAGGGAACTCTTGGCCAATGGCCTCAATTTTTTTTCAGTGAAGTGTGAGGCAAGTCCTTATCTGAGAGCATTGGGGAAAGATGCAATGGATGGATGAAAAGTTTAAAAAAGTCACTGTGGTGAATGAAATTGTGAATTGATTAGGCAAATGTAGAAGTACTGTCTTCCTGTAGTGAGGGCCCACTTTATGTAACATATTTATGTAACATAAACTTGTAGTTGGCCCACAGCATGATTTCTTGATGTTCTTCAGTTCCATTTCTTCTGTTTTGACAAAATTTTAAAGAAATTTTGCTTTAATATTTCATATTGTCTCATGGAGGTTTCGATTTTTATTTTGTCTCATTTTGAGCTTCAGGGAGTTCAATTCTTGGTTAGAGCTTACTTAAATCTGTTCTAAGCTATTATTTTTTTTCCTCTGTGTATTATCATTTTTCGGTCTTTTTGTGACCCCATTTGGGGTTTTCTTGGCAAAGATACTAGAGTGGTTTGCCCTTTCCTTCTCCAGCTCATTTTACAGATGAGGAAACTGAGGCAAACAGGATGAAATGACCTGTCCATAAATGAAGGGAGAGTCATTTTCTGTAATCTCCCAATAAAAGCAGTAGAGGTACTGGGATGGGAGAAGTACTACTGACCTCATCATTCAACCGAAACTGTCCTCTCTAACAATGGAACTTGCAGAGGAACAGCAAAGAAGGCTGAATAGGAGAAAACTATATAGCTCAATTCAGTTCTACTCACAACCAATCCAACAACAATCTAAGAGTGCTAGACCAAGGAATGATGGGAAAATCTAAGGAGAAACCAGTTATTTTCTCAAGATTACAAATTTGGCCCAGGGAAGTGACCAAAGAAGGAACTGTGAAATAGGGGTAGGCCAGCTGTAATGTCCTGCCAGTCTCAGAGTGGGATTGCAGATTTAACCCCCAGACTTTGATAAGAAGTGGGCCAGCAGCTCTATCCCTCTTACCTCAAAACAACATCTAGGACTTGGCTCAGAGGTGAATGACCAAAGAAGGAGCTATGAGACTAGAGTTTAACTTAAAGTTCTGTCACTCTGAATGGCAGGGGCTGGGGCCACCACTGTCTGCTAGGGGTCCACTTAGGGGCAAATCTGCAGTTATGTCGCTTATAGCCATAACTGGAGTCTGGAACCAAAAATTCCAGGAAGGAAGCGAGAAGACCAGGCCCCAGGTCAAACCACTTAGGGCCTACTGAAAGTTTGCTGCTCTCTGGCCTGAACCACCCCAAGATCCTTAAAGAATACAACACTCAATACAAGCAAACAGAGTAGCAGGACTCCAGATAATACAGACCAGGGCCACATAATGCCCAATATTCTCCAGAAGTACACAGAGCTTTGTTCTAACACAAAGTCCCAATTTGGGAAGTAAAGGCTGGAAGAATGAGTTAAAAAAAAAAAAAAAAGACTTCCATGATAAAGAGCTATTACCGAACCAAGAACATGGAAGATACAAATCTAGAAAAGAAGAATAGCTCCAATATACCTATAAGCAAAGCCTTAATAAAAAACAAAACAAAACAAACAAAAAAACTTGGCCATAAGGTCAATAGTATTCCTAGAAGAAATGAAGAGGTGGTTGTTATTGTTTTTAAAGGTTTAAAATGAGTTTATAAACAAAATGAGAATGCTAGAAGAAATAATTTAAAATAGGAAAAGAAATAGCTTTGGAGGAAAAACTTGGAAGGAGAATTAACAACTTAGAAGAGGTACAAAACTTTACCTAAGTAACAGACTCCTTGAAAATTAGAATGAACGAAATAGAAGTTAATGATTCCATGAGAAAGCAATAAATATTAAAACAAAGTTGGCTACAGGGTACAGAACCAGATGTTGCTTGCGACTCCATTACCCATTACCCAGTTTCAGGGCACAGAGAGAGCAGGGGCCCTAGTTTCTGGTAGCAGTTGTAGAAGTGCCAGTTGTTTGTGGTTGCAAAGGAGCAGGGGCCCTTCTTGGGTGAGGACCATAACACAGACTAGGAGAGCAGTGACCACATCTCTCCCCAGATCACAGTACTTCAGAAGCATTGAAAACCTACAGACCCCCATAACTAGCTGTGAAAACAGCAGGGTGAAAAGGCCTGAAGCTTGGGACAGTGACCCTTTCCCCCAACAGAAGTAAGCAGATCCCAACTCTAACGTAAAGTTCGAAGTCAAGAAATAAGGTGGAAAAATGAGCAAACAAAAGCTACTATGGTAACAGGGCATAAATTCAGAAGACAATAATGATGTAAAAACATCTACAAGCAAAGCCTCACAGAAAAATGCAGATTGAACACGAGCCCCAAAAAAGAATTCCTGGAAGAGCTAGAGAAAGAGATTTTTAAAAGAGCAAAACAAAAAGATTTTAAAAATCAAATAAGAAAAGTAGGGGGGAAGTTGTGGGGGGGAATGAAAATATGCAAGAAAATTATGTGAAAAAGAATTAACAGCTTGGTAAGAAAGGCACAAAAAGAACTGAATAACTCCTCAAAAAGCATAATTGGCCAAGTGGAAAAAGAGGTAAAACCCTCACTGAAGAAAATATTTCCTTAAAAATTAGAACTGGTCAAGTGGAAGTTAATGATTCCATGAGACATCAAGAAATAATAAAACAAAATCAAAAGAATGAAAAAAAAAGAAAATGTGAAATATCTTAAGAAAAACAACTGACCTGGAAAATAGATCAAGGAGAGATAATTTAAGAATTATTGGACAACCTAAATGCCATGATCAAAAGAAGAGATAGTCCAGGTATAAAGTATGATCATGGCGGTGTGTAGCTAATGTGTAATAAAGAAGAATGTCAATGGAGTAAAGAAAGTTTCAGAATTATGCAGTGAGGGCATCAACTTGCCTACTGAAATCCCCTAAGAAGATGACAGACTAGGGTGCCAAGAAGAGGACCAGGAGTCAGATACTAAAGTCATTGAAAAAAGATGGGATCACAACCTGGAAGTGAGTACATGATATAAAGCTAATATTTCCTTGACTTGAATTTGTAAGAATTTTGTTAAGCATTTCTACTTGGTAAATCTTACCATTTCTATCTTCAAAATATCCCTTTCATCTATTCCCTTCTCTTTGCTTTCATGGCCACCACTTTAGTTCATAACCTCATCACTTCTCTCCTGAACTATTCCAGTAGTCTCCTAATTGGTCCTTGACTCATGTCTTTCACGTTTCTAATCCATCTTCTAAACAGCTGCCAAGTTCACTGCCCTGTTCAATAAACTCCAGTGGTATCTTGTTAAATAAAACTTTCTGGACATTTAAAGCCTCCTTCACAATCTCATTCCAATCTGCCTTCATAGTCTTTTTATACTCTACTCAACTTCCCACATTCTACAATCCAGCCAAACTGATCTTCTTGCTATTATTCATATACTCCATCTCCCAATCTCTGAGTTTGTATGTGACTTTCCTAGGTCTGGAATATACACCTTCCTCACCTCCACTTCCTAGAACCCCTAGTTTCCTTCAAAGTTCAGCTTAAATGTTATTTTCTATATAAGACCTTTTCTGATCCCAACTCCTACTATCCATCCTTGTATTTATTTATTCCTTTTGTATATACTTATATATATTGTATATACTTATATATACTGTATATATACATATATAAAAAAAGTATATATGTACTTTTGTATATACTTATATATGTTGTATATACTTATATATGTTGTCTCTGTTGACAGAATATTAGCTCCTTCAGGGCAGAGACTGGTTTTTTTCTGTCTTTGTATCTCTGTCACTTAGCATAGTAAGTAGCTTAATACTCACTGATTGATTGGCAAGGGCTGACCTGACTCAGATCTAAGATACTATGAAAGTAATTTCTCTCTTTAAGTGCAACATTTCTAAGATTATATGTACGGCAAGAAGAGGAACTGGAGCACCATGTAGTATAGCTTCCTCACTTTGACAGGTGAGGAAACTGAGGCCCAGATAAATTAAGTGATATACTAAGGGTTATACAGATGGGGGAAAACTGCAATTGGAACTGAAGTTCTTTGACTCCAAACCTAAATCTCCTTCTGTCTTACCATCAGTGTCCTACCAAAGGGAATTTATAATCATCCATCCATCCCCATTTGTTTACACACTTTGCTAAACAGTGCATTTGATTCTGTTTGCTAAAACAAAAACAAACCTGGATATTGGAACTTTCCATCTTGAAAAAAAAAAGACTTTCTGTCAAATAAAAATATCATTAATTTCACCAATTTTATGTAATCTGAATAACAAAATTACTGATGACCAACTTCTTACATATATTATAATAGTTACATAACTATTCTCCCTTTTGTCTCACCCATTCATCTTTATGAAGAAAAGACATTTTTAAAATCTCTGAAAAATTAAGACTGAGGTGATTTATTAATCTTGTTAAGAACTCTGATACAAAGCACAGTAAAAGACCACAGATCAGTAAATAAAAAGTGGCTTTTGGCCACTTTACAAGTGCTGCTACAGTAGTACTACCATTAAAACAGATTCATTCACCAATTTGAACAAGGTAGTCAAAACAGTAAAAGAAAAGTTTTGTGTACTTTTCTGTTTTAAAAGTTTAATAAAGGTGACTTAAATACTACCAATCTTCAAAAAGGATTTTTAAAAATTACAATAAATGCAATGATATTCAGAGAGTAGGTCATTAGGATTTGAAAGCAAGACATGGTTGCTATTCCACTGAAAACTTTCCTTTGAATGGTATGAATTTGCAAAGTAGCAGACTGAATTATAGGCCTTGAGTCACTTAAATTTATATAGGTTATTAGCATTGTCTGTAAATATACAATATAAACAAAATTGTACATACATAGCATATTAGCTTTGTTCTCCAAAACAGCAGGCAACATTATCTAAAGACATCTGCCTGACAAAACAAAAAGGCACATCTGAAAAAGATTCATGCTAAAGATACACAGGCTTTATACCCTCCCTTCCCAACCCCACAATGGGCTGGGTAATCTTTGTTTACATTCTGCCAAAACAATAAAAACAGTGCATTCTGATATCTTTGTTTTGATTTTCATTCCATTTTTCTTTTTAGTCATCAACAGCAAAAATGCCTTTTAAGACATGACATTCAAGAGTTTGAGAACACAACTTTCCTAGATGAAGATAAAACTAGAAAGTGAGTAGCCAAAAAGTTTAAAAAGGAGTAACACTACATCCCTATACTTGTGTAAATTCATTTTCTTAAAAAGGCCTCTAGAAGTCAAATTTGAAAAATTCCATAAATGCACTGTCTCTTTCTTTCCAGTGCAAACAATGGTTAAACTAATTTAATGTAAATTCATTGCAAAATACAAATTTTTTATACTGGCCTAATCACTGGTAGCACTGAGGATCCAACACACAGTAATGCTACTATCACCTGAGGGCAATGCTGAAGGACTTGTGTGCTTTAAAACAATTTTATTTCCCCAATTTTTAAAAGCTTATTTCATCAGTAAGCAATTATATGAGAATTACTTGCAAAACTACTAAAATACCTTGCCTTGTTTTGAATAAATAAAAAAGGAACTTTACAAATACTATTCCAGTGTCAATGACTAAATATGGCTAAGGTCACTGAGGAGTTTCTGCATTTTCTAACAATGACAATCTGTACATAGGAGGTTGACAAAGATCTCTTTTGTAAGTCTTTGGTGGCAGTTTTGGTAAGTGAGGGCTTGAATTCTGTCTTGGTGGGATAGGGGGAGCTTGAGAATGAGCAAGATTATTTTGACTAGAACTGAGCACGCAGCGACGTGGCACCCTTGGGGAGGGTGTGCTTGGAGGAGTATTCGGTGAGTTTGGGCATGTACTGGCTTCCCGGAACCAATCTGGATCTCTGTGAGTATGTCCCATTGGTGGTGGCTGAAGATTAAATGGATAGTTTATGAAATGTTCAGGAGGCCGAAAGGGTACTGGTGGAGGAGTCTCAGGAAGAGGGTCTCGTGGAGGTGGTGGTGGTGGGCTAGGCAAAGGCCCTTCAAATGGACCACTGTAAGCAGGAACTCGAGGTCTTATCTTTGGAGGTGGTGGCTGCCTTGGTGGAATAGCAGGAGGATCATCATCATATTTCAAGTTTCCCTTAAAAGTTGAAAAAAAACCAAACTGATAAATCATACCATTCATTTGTAAAGTCATTATATTTGTTGATTAGAGTATTAATGATATCTTTACTATATAGGAAAAAAAACTTCAAAAGATAATTTCTATTATGTCTCAAAAATTAAAATGATAGAACGTGGTTTTATCCAATGAAATCACAGGTCTGGACTTCTAGTCATTTCCTAGCCTTCCTTCCCCCTTCCCAAAACGTGGTTTAAACATCAGATTTATGATTGCCCTTTAGGATAAAAATAACAGATTTTTCTATGTGGCATTACAAATCTTATAATATATAACTTCATGTCTAACTATATTGACTTATGTAGGAAGACTGAATTAATGTGAATTTAGTTCTAGGTAACTGTTATCACAGAACCAGCACATGAATAAACATAATACACAGAATTCAAGAAAAGGAAAGGGTCTTAAGAGATGACAAAATCCAGGGTCCTGATACTAGTTATCTCCTATTATTATGAGTTAAAATTTTGAGATTTTTTAAATTTATAATTCAAACCCTCTTTATCTCTCTAACCTAGAGGAGTAACATCCTTTTGGGAGTCAGGGGATTGTCAGCTGGAATCGCCAAATTGTAGCCAATGAACTCTGCAGAAGTGACTACGTCTTCAGATATGTCTGGGAAGGGAGCTGGGTTGTAGTTGGCAATTCTGGTGGAGGGTGAGGAGGGGCACATATGAACAGTGGTTCTTAGCCAAACTCAAAGACTTTAAGCTTACAACCAACAGATTCTAAGGGTTAATAAAAAAAATTCAAAACCATAACTGACAACATACAAAGAGTCAGGCAGTCGACAGACATTTATTATGTGCTTACTATAATGTGAGGCACTGTGCTAAGCATTGGGGATAAACAGTGAAAGGCAAAAACACTGCCCTTGCCCTCAAGGAGCTCATATTCTAAGGGGGGAGAAAATATGCAAAGAATTATGTACATACAAGACATACAGGATAAATTGGAGGTAGTTTCAAAGGAAAGGTACCAGTGGGGAGAGGAAAAGACCTCTTGTAGAAGGTGTCGTTTGAGTTCAGTCTCAAAGGAAGCCAGAGACAAGGACAGAGAGCGTTCCAGGTGTGAGGGACAGTCAGAGAAAAGGTACGAAAACAAAAATGAAATCTTGAGGAGCTTATGTCTTATTGGGGAAATAACTTGTACATAAATAACTATATACACAAAATACAAAAAGAATATAAAGTAAATATTTCTGAAGCAGAGCTTATAGCTGAAGGGATTAGGGATCAGCTTATATAACAGTGGAGTCAAACTCAAATAGAAATGGGTGCCACTAATCTATACATAAGCATTCCTGTGGTCACTTAGTTTTGTAGTGACTTAGTTTTGAAAGGTAATGTTCTCTATGCTTTATTGTATTTTTATTTTGTCACATATATTTCTCAATTACAGTTTAATCTGGTTCACGTGGCATTAGGGAATACCATGGGCTATATGTGGCCCATGAGCCAAGTGTCTGACACCTCTGATAGAGTAAATGATAACTGAGTAAAGTTTTGAAAGAAACAAAAGAGGTGAGGTGGGGATGCAGTCTAGGAATAAGGCGACAACCTGTGCAAAGACACAGAGCTGGGAAATGGAAGGAAAATAGCCAAAAGCCTACCTTGGCTGTTCAGTGACTTGCACAGGTCAGGGGGGGCTAAGTTCCAAAGGGCTTTAGAAGCTAGAGTCTCTGGAGTTTATGGAAAGGAGAAGTGCTATGGTTAGTCTTTAGGAGAGGTGAGAGAACTGAGGCAGGGAGAATGATAAGGAAGTTATTGCAATAGTCCAAGAGTCCAATAGTAAGGAGGCCTTGAACCACAGTGGTGGCAATGTTAGTAGGAAGAAAGGAAAAGATGCAAGAAATATTGTGGAGGAAGTACCAACCAAATCTGCCAATTGGATGAATATGTGGGTGAATAAAAATGAGGAATTGAAGATGACACCAAGGTTTTGTTGGACAAATGATGATACCCTTAAAAGAAATAGGGAAGCTTGGAAGTGGGGTGGGTTTGAGAAGAAAAATAATGAGTTCCAGTTTGGACTTTCTGAGTTTAAGATTATCAGTGCTGTTGAGCTGGTCTTCTCTTGGCACATCCAGTTTGAAATATCCAATGGGCAATCGGAGGTGTGAGACTGAAGCTCAGGAGATAGGCAAGGGCTAGATATATAGTTTTCAGAGTTATTTTCATAGAGATGATAACTGAATCCACAATAGTTGATGGTACGAGCTGCCATAAAATATAGACTTATCACTTTAGCTTCTCAAGCCTTTCATAAGCTAGCCTAAATCAACCTTTTTCAACTTTATACAATGCCCCCCTTTCCCATACTCTACAGCCAAGATGGCACAAAGAATAAGAATATAGAGAAATAATAGAATAGGATGCAGGACAGAGCTTGTGGCTATACCCTCAGTTTTGGGCATGAAATTGATGGTGAACGAGGAAAGGAGCTGAGAAAAAAAAAATAAAACAAATTAGAAAAAAAAAAAGAAGACTGAGAAAGGAAGAGAGCCAATAGAACATGAATATCCAGAAAGGACAAAGTTATACAGGAAGAGGTAGTCAGTCAACTGTGTCAAATGTTGCAGAGGTGTCAAAAAGGATTAGATGTTTTTTGAAAAAAGGACATCAGATTTGACAAGTAAGAAACCACTGGTAACTTTGGAGAGAGGAATTCTTACCTGAGCCAGGTAAGATAGAAGCCAGATTGCAAAGAGTTGAAAAGTGAGTGAGGGGAGAGGAGAGGAAGTGAAAATAACAGTTATAGATAACTTTTTCTAGTATTCTGTCTTTGATAGGGAAGAGAGACAAAAAGGTAGCTTGAAGGTGCAGAATGGTCTAGCAAATGTTTGTGGTGTTGTTTTCCCTTAAGAAATTCAAGAGTCTTAGGCATATTTGTAGGCAGCAGGGAAAAAAAAAAAAAACAGTATATACAGAGGGACTGGAGATTTATGTATTTATAAATATATATATATATATATAAATGTGTTGGTGTATGTATGTGAGAGAGAGAGAAAAGAAGAAGAAGAAGAAGAAGAAGAAGAAGAAGAAAAGAGAAGAGAAAAGAAAAAATGACTACTGTGGGGGCAATCTGCTTGAGAAAAGACAGAAACAATGTTAGTCTTAGTGGGGAGAAGATTCACTTTTTCAAAACAGAGACTTAAGTAAAAAAGCAGAAAATGAGGGCTAACATCAAGGGGTTATAAGATGGTGAGATGATGCAAAGAGAGTTCATGGGAAATGGTCTCTATTTTCTGAGTAAGTTCTGAAGCAAGGTCTTCAGCTGAAAGGGAAGGAGAGAGGGGATGGTATGGAAAGCTTGAAGAGAAAAGAAGAGGTCTAGAGAAGCTCTGTATTAGCTGTCTGTATTAGCAGTGTATTGAAAACCAAAATGATGTTGAATACCTTAGAAGCTGAAACATCTTGATCAAACTTTTTACGAGGAGGAAGAGGAGGAGGAACCAGTGGCTCTTCAGTTAATTTATGTAAACTACCACATGAACTGAAGAAAGATTCTGAAAAAAGGAAAATATCAACTTAGCCACAAATAATAAGAGAAAAATTATCTTCTTAAAAGACTAATTTTAAATTAAAAAAGCTTGAAATATACTACTATTTGTTAATGAAGATATATCAAAAGTTTTATTTACCATGATGTAAAAAATTTAGCATATATTTACACAATTCAAAATAGTGCTGTGTAACACTGATTATACATTTAAGAGATTGTCATTTTCTCATAATAAGTTATATCCAAAAAGCCCTTCAATAATGGAGACATCAGATTCTTTCCAGAAAATAAGTATTATTTCTTGGGTTCATTTTTTGCTTGTCAGTCACTCCCATTGGGTAGGGGGTAGTCGTACTTCACAGGTACCCATAAAATCTCTGGAAGACAGTGAGTTTCCAAATACAAGAAGCTGGCCTCTGAAGAGATTTCCCCATAGAAACAATGTCATAAATGGTGGTGAGGTTACTTCACTCCCCTTACACATCTTCATGACTCTCCCACAAGCAGACTCTGAAGTCTCCATTTCAGCTACAATTATATGATCCCAATAAAATAAGCATTTGTGGACAAATGGGATAAAACTTAGCCATCATTTAAAATGTTTCTGCTGTGGATAAACATATTCTGAGTTCCAAAACAACCAATTTATAAATGAACACTAGAATGTATCTATGAATTAAGCATACGTTGGTACTTTGACAGTTCTCATACATGTTAATATTCCTTTCACCAGTGCAGACTGCAAACCATCCATTCCTTCTCATTCTGTAAAATTTTTTTCCATGTCTTTCCATAAGTGTTTTTTTTTGGGGGGGGGGCTAGGCAATGGGGTTAAGTGACTTGCCCAGGATCACGCAGCTAGTAAGTGTTATGTGTCTGAGGCTGGATTTGAACTCAGGTCCTCCTGAATCCAGGGCCGGTACTCTATCCACTGCGCCACCTACCTGCCCCTTTCCATAAGTGTTCCAAAGAGGATATACCTGATGTGGTACCTCTAGGACACAATTTATTGGTACCAGTACACAATTCCAGCTGGCCATCTGGTTTTTCCTCTTGCTGGCTAACCACCTGGCCCATTTTCTTTTCTAATCTTATATCTCCTTGTGGATATGTTTGATTCTACTTTTATGCAACTCATAGTTCATATAATCCTAGGAAAATTTATCATGAACATAAAATCTATCAGTACATGAATGGTGTACAGTTAGTTGTACGCAGTGAGTCTACATTCATTTTTTACTTGTTTTTCTATAATCCAAATGAATAGATTTCTTTCAATAACCACACTGATTTAACCTTTTAGGGTATGTAAAAACATTTAAAATATGAAAATCTTTAGATTACTCAAGAATATGGCAGAGGTATGAACACGTATATACTCACTTGAATGTGGTAAGACCACTGGGGCAAAGATGCTGTTGCTTCCTATTAGAATGAGGAAAAAAAATTGAAAACAGAAAAATAGATATATCTTTAGGGAGTTTAATATATCAGATGAACAACAGGCATCAAAAAGCATTTATTCAGGACCTATAACATGCTAGACACTATGCTAAGCACTGAAGATATGAAAACAAAAATGCGTTCACATTCTACTAGAGAGACAAGTTACACAAACACAATGCATATATATCTGCATATATGTATATATACATATATATGTATGCACATATATGCCCACGTATATCCACATGTATGTCATACATACACGTGTATATATGTGAACACACACGTACATATAAATGTGCATATAACTGTGTGTACACACATGTATGTGGTAATATACACGTGCACACACAAAAAATAAAGACAAGGTAATTTTTGAGGGGAAATCAAAAAAGGCATCAAATAGAAGGTGGTGCGTTAGCTGGGACTGGAAGAAACAACAAAGGGGATGAGAAGAGGGGGGGAAGTTATCCCAGGTATCCAGGGAATAGCAATGTGCACAGGCACAGAGATGAGAGTTTGTATATGATCAACAGTAAAAATTCCGGGATGGTCAGAGCTTAGATCATGTGAAGGGGAGTAGTGTGCCTTATGTGGAACACTTTGAATGACAAAGGAGATTTATTTGCTCTAGAGGTGACAGGGAGTTTACTAAGTAGGACAGACATGGTCAGAACTATAATTTAGGAAAATAACTTAGCAAGTGTGTGGAGGACAACGTAGAGCATGGGAAGACTTGAGGGAGAGAAATCAATTAATTAGGACACTATTTCAATAGTCCAGATGAAAGGTGAGAAGGGCAACAACTATCCCATTCACTATAGCAACTGTTCCAATTCTTCTCTCCTCAACCATTCCAGGGCAATCCTTCCCCCACCCTTTTAGCTTAGAACCTTGTGTCATATTTCACAGAAAAAATTTGAGGTCATTCATTGCTAGCTCCCTCTTCTCTCCTCATCTTCATTTTACATTCCTCTAATAAAAAGGTTCTCATCCTTGAGTCTGTGAATTTGTTTTTTAAATGTTTTGATAATTGTACTTTAATGTAATTAGTTTCCTTTGTAGTTCTATTTATTTATTATGGGGGTCTGGCACAGGTACTGAGTGCCTCACATGGCCTGTTCAAATTGAGAAGTAAGGGAGTCTGCTTGTGGGAGAGTCATGAAGATGTGTAAGGGGAGTGAAGTAAGCACAGAAACTAGTTCTGGTAGGCTTACTATGTGGCGAATGGGAAACTCTGGCTATGGAAACATTCAAAAGGAACTAGCTGCCTTCTGTCACCTTTCTTCAATCATTCGTTTCAGCTGCATTTTTGGGCAATCTCTATTCCTCCTTCATTCATGGCATCCAATGAGAAGCAATACTGTAAAGGGAGAGGCCTTGGGCTTTTCTTCTTTCTGAGGCCATATGGCCCTATGAAAAGCCTCTGTGTTTGTTCATCTCTATTTTAGATAAAGGGACTAGAGGTTCCGATCTGGTGAGTTTTAAAAGGTTGGGAGAATACTCCAGTTTTGTACGTCATTAATGTTCTAAGGAGCATGGAGAGATTCAGCCCCTGGGGAACTGATGTAAGGACTCAACTGGTAGTTATGTCACATATAAATGTGAACTTGGTGGAACCAAAGTTATGGAAGAACTGTGTTAAGAGTAAGCCTGCTCAGTAGATTTCAGAAAAACCTGGAAAGATTTACATGAACTGAGGCTGAGTGAAGTGAGCAGAACCAGAAGAACATTGTACACAGTAACAGCAACATTGTGCATTGATAAACTATGATAGACTTAGCTATTCTGAGTGATACAATGATCCAAAACAATTCCAACAGACTCATGATGGAAAATGCTATCCATATCCAGAGAAAGAACTATGGAGTCAGAAGGCAAATCGAAGCATACTATTTTCACTTTTTTTTTCTTTCTCACGGTTTTTCCCTTTTGTTCTAATTCTTCTTTCACAACATGACTAATGTGGAAATCTTTAACATGACTGTACATGTGTAACGTATATCAGATTGCTTGTTGTCTTGGGGAGAAAGGAGGGAAGGCAGGGAGGAAGAAAAATTTGAAACTCAAAATCTTACAAAAATGAATGTCGAAAACTATCTTTACAAGTAATGGGGAAAAAAAGTGAAAATTAAGTGAAAAAAAAAGAATAAGCCTGCTCTTCTGAAAGTGGTACAGAGGAGAATATGTCCCTGCGATGCTGGAGGGAAACTTTTGTTCTTATTATATGTTCAAAATAAATATCCCTCTCTAAAAGTTAATTTGATGGCTAAATGAAACCCTGGTGCTACTCACTGGTACCTAAAAATGAGGAGAACGTAGCCAGTGGGGACTTGAGCCAACGACATTATAGGAGCAACACCCTTCTTCCTGGGAAGTACTCAGGGTGCCTTAGAAACCTAAGGGGCAGATGTGACCTGCCTAGCTCTAGGAGACTAAGCCAGAACATAATTGTTATATATTTTATTTTATGCATTTAAAAATATTATTCTAAGAAGGGATCCATAGGCTTCACTGGACTGTCAAAGGGGATCATGACACAAAAAAAGATTAAGAACCTCTGCTCTAACATTAATACCCAATTAACTCCTACTTCACTTCAGCCTCTGAAGAAGAGGTGGCCTTTCTGGCCAAGACCAATCCCCCTATATGTACCCTTGATCCCATCCCCTCCTTTAGCACACTGACCTGACTATCATCTTCATTCTCTAGTCTTCTGGCTTTCCCTATCCACTGGTTTCTTTCCTGCTGCTTACAATCATGCCCAAGTTTCCCCTATCCTTTAAAAAAGTCTCACTAGAACCTATGATTTCCATTATCTATCATCCTATTTCTGTCCTCTCCTTCTCAGCTAAAGGCCTTGAAAAAGTCATATTTATTTGGTGCCTCTATTCCCTCTCTTCTCACTCGCTATACCATACCAAAGGAGAACAACATGAAGGCCCCATAAAGGAGAGAAAAAGGACTTCCAGGAGCTGTGGTTTCCCCCTTTTCCATGTGCTCTAAGTTTGAGATCACTTTCCCCTGGACTTTGTCCATACTTGTGAGAGAGTATGTTCTCACTTTGGGGACATTTTGTACCAACCATTTTTCACTATACCACCTTAGTAAACACTTATTTCTAAAAGTTAATCAAGTCTCACTAACTAATTGATATCATTACAAACTGGATGTTACATTGGCATTCCAAACTCAACATCATTGAGAAACAACTATGATTGTTTACTTTCCACCCCCATCTTCCCCCCCTCAAAAAAAAAACATCCTTCTGCTGAACTTCTCTTTTACTGTTTAGGGGCCCACCATGCTCTGGACCTAGGTTCACCACCTCAGTGTCTTCCTTGACTCCTCACTTTCACTTATCTCACACATCCAATCAGTTGCCAAATCTTGACCTTTCTTTTTCCACATCTCTCATATCTGCCTCATTCTCCCCACTCACACAACTACCACCCTAGTTCAAGTTCTTTTTACTTTTAAATTGGAAGTAAATTGGAAGTTTAAATTGGAACATTGCAATAAACGTCTAAATGGTCTCCTTTCTCAATTCTCTCTCCACTCCAACCCATCTACCACAAAGGTGCCATAGTAATTTTCCTAAAGCAATAAACTTCAGTGTCTCTGTTACTCCCAGGATCAAATACAAAATCCTATGTTTTGCTTTTAAAGTCCTTCACCATCTGGCCTTTCCCTACCTTTACAATCCTCATTCATTATTCCTGTCCATACCCTCTACAGTCTAGCCATATTCTCCTCCGTGTGGTTCTTCATACATGACACTCCATCCCAGTGTCTTTGGACTGACTGTCCCTCATGCCTGGAATGTATTCTCTCCTCACTGCTCCAAAGCTTCCTTTAGGACTCAGCTCAAGTGCAACCTTATGCAGAAGATCAATGTCCCCAGTGTCACAGAGTGCCTCCCTTACCTTCCATCTAATCTGGATGTATTTTATATGTATCCATTGTCTTTGCAATTTTAATGTGATTTTAATTTCTTGCAGGGATTATTTTTGCTTTTTGTTTGTATTCGCAGTATTTAGTACAGTGCCTGGTATAGTAACTGCTAAATAAATCATTAATTAACTGATTGAATTAAGGCAGTGGCTGTCTTTATAAAGAAAGGAGAGATTTATTTGAGGGACTGTGTGAAGGCATTAAGTAGCAGAATTTGGCAAGTGACTGGATATGTGGGGTGAGTGAGAGTAAGCAGCTGAGTATGCAATGGAGTTGTCAACTGGATAACCGAGGTGATAGTTAGTCCTTTAACAGTAATAGGGAAGTTCAGCAGAGGGTTGGGTTTAGTTGGGGGAGAGACAACGAATTCTGTTTTGCACATGCTGAGTTTGATATGCATAGAGTATATCCAGTTTATAATGTTCACTAAGCAATTGGTGATGTGGGATTAGAGCTCAGGAGAGACTATAAGACAGGATATATAGATCTAGGAATAGATAATTCAACTCATTAAAGCTGACAAGGTTCCCAAGTGGAGAAGAGAACAGGATTTAAGACAGTGCTCTGGAGTATAACCACAGTTAAGGAGTATAATATAGATACTTCACTTTTACATTATATACACATATAGTAATTTATATAAATTTTAGACAAATAATGTACTAAATTATAAGATTAGCTCAAACTACATTGAAATTTTATAAGATATTTTCATAAACATTTGATTTCCTCGATTTAAATTTTCTAAAATGCATAAACTTAATTACAAAATCAAGTTTTCCACTCTTATAATAATTACTAACTTTTAACATTCTGATTCTACTTTTCAAAATACTATATTCACCTTTTAGTTTCTAAATAAAATGGAATATGTAAAGTCATTGGTAAAAGAATCTCTTTCCAAGGATCTGTTATCAATACTTACCACAAGAACTGTTAAGATCTATATCTAAAAATACACTGAGTTCTGAAGAAGCAGAGACTGGTGGAGTAGATGGTGTGTTTGGAGAGGTTGGTGCTGATGCTGCTGATTCATGCTCAGCCTCATTTATCCGACTGAAGCTTATTTTACATGGTTCTCTTTCTAATGGTGTTGGGTGACCTCGTAAAGTGCCTGAAGTAGAGCCATGTCTGCCAGCATGTGGCCTTATACCAGGAGATTTTAAGGAGAAAGTTGTTTTCCTAGGCTAGGAAAAGCAAACATAATTAACATTACTAAGCACTTATTTTTCAAAAAATAAACAGCATAAAAAATGAGTGGAGAGCATGCTGCCATCCCAACTTGAAGACAATGTAATACTACATTTGAAATTTCTCTCAATGCCCTTAGTTGAAATTCAATGTGGGACCGAATATAAGGCTATCATATTTTTCACATCACCAAAATAAAATTCTCTCAAGTTTTGTGAACAAAATTGCTCTCACACTATTAGATCTTGAACCTAAGTTTCTCTGTAACATCATCTAAACATACAAGTACAAGATGGGGGAAACATAGTTTTATAGTAGTTCATGTGGAAAAAAACCTAATGGAATGAATTCATTAAGCATTTATCATCTGTCAAACACTGTTCTAGGATCACCAATACAAGACAGTTCTCACACTCAAAGAACTTATATTTCAGTTGAGGGAGACAACACATATAAAGGCATGGTGGCCAGGGAACAGTATTTTGGTTTGGGAAGTCCCAGGAATGGTGAATTAATTGATGTGCCCTTTCCAGAAGCACTTAATATTACCTGAACAAGAGGTGGAAAGCAAGAGGGATGGGGGCAGTAAGATGTGTGTATAGCAGCAGATGGTAAGGGGATGGCTAGAGTACAAAGTCAGATGGAATGCTTGTTGATTCATTGAAAGCGATATTAGAGCTAACATGAAAGAAATCTTTTGATGTAGAAAGAGTTACATGAGGGTGAAGGACGTGGCAAAGTGGAAATAGTGTTTGTTAGGCACGGAGTCAGGAAAACCCAAGTTCGAATTCAGCATCAGATACTTACTAGCTATGTGACCCTGGGCAAGTCATTTAATTTCTCTCTGCCTCAGTTTATAAAATGGGGATGATAATAATAGCACCTACCTCCCAGGGATGTTGTGAGGATCAAATGGAATATTTGTAAAGAACTTAGCAAACCTTAAAGTGCTATATGAAAATTAGCTATTTTAATTGTATTCCATTACATTAATATATCATCATTTGTTCAACCATTCACCAGTTGTACTTAACTAGAGTAGCGACTGTATAAAGAAGGAAAAATTGTTACTATAATTTTTAAAAATGAGTCCTTCCCTTTTTTTGGAAGGATCTCTTTGGGGTATACGCCTAGGAATAGTATTGCTGGATTAAAAAGTTGACAGAGTTAAGTGATTTTTGAGTGTTGTGCCAAATTGCTTTCCAGAAATTATTGGACCAATTCACTGCTCCACCAGCAATGTATTTATTAGTGTGCCTTTCTTCCCATAGTCCATCCATCAACTGTCCCTTTCCTTTTTTGGTTATCCTTGTCAATTTGATAGCACTGAGGTGGAAAGTCATTTTAATTTGCATCTGTTATTTTTAGTGATTTGGAGTGTTTCTTCTTATAGTTGTTGAACAAATTTGAGAACTACATGTTCATATCCTATGTCCATTTACTGCTTGGTTGATGGTTCTTGTTTTTAAATTCCCTATATCTAAGATATTTTGGATAACATCTTTTTCAGAAAATTTTGCTACAAATATTTCCCCGATTTAACTGTTTCCCTTCTAATTCTAACTACATTGTTTTTAAATTTTTCAATTTTATGTAATCAAAATTATCTATTTTATCTCCTGTAATCCTCTTTCTATCCCTTGATTGGTCAAAGCTCTTATCTGAAATTGTACAAGTTCTCCTCTATTCCTCTAATTTGATTATGACATGACTTTCTATATTGTAGTAGATGGTGAGATGGTAGTCTAAACCTAATTTCTATCAGACTGCTTTCCAGTTTTCCTTGAATTATGAATCCTTACCTAAGTAGTTGGAGTCCCTCAATATATCAAATACTATGCTACTATGTTCAATTGCTTCTGCCCCTAACCTGTTCCACTGACCAAACTGTCTATTTTTAAAAAAATCAGTGTCATATAGCTTAAATAATTACTTCTCTATAGTATAATTTGGGACCTGGCATTCTTTATTCTCATTTTTTTTCATTATTTCCCTTGAGATCCTTGGTCTTTTCTTCTTCTAGATGAACTTTGTTATTATTTGGTCTAGTTCCATAAAATAATCCCTTGGTAATTTGAAAGGTATGGCACTAACTCTGTAAATTAATGTAGATAGCCTTGTAATTTTATTTTATTGGCACAACCCAAACACCAGAAAAACTCCAATTACTTGTATTCATTTATGTAAAGTGTTTTGGAATTATACTCATATATACTTCCTTTATGTATCTTTATAGGTAGCATCCCTGTTATTTTAAACATTCTCTATATATCTGAAAGGATTTCCTTTTTCTCCCTTCTGAATTTGTTGGTAATATATAAAAAGTGCAGAGATTTGTATAGATTTATTTTATATTCTGCTCCTTTACTGACAATGTTGTTTCAATAACTTTTTAGTCAAATCCTAAGGGTTCTCTCAGTAAACCATATCGCCTCACAAAATGCTAATTTCCTTTCTTCTTTGCCTATGCTTATTCCCTCAAATTCCTAAGGAATAGCTGGAAGTGGTACAAAGGAAAGAGCACGGGCTCTAGAATCAAAGGATCCAGGTTCAGGGTTGAACTCAGGCCTCTGAGATTCAGATATATGTCATCCTTTGATGAAATGATTTCATTTCTGACTCATCAGTTTTCAGGATTAAGTTAAGCCTCCAATTAGTTTTTACTCCTTTCTCCAGTTATTTGCTAAAAATAATTTTCATTGAATTGTGATTAGTAAAGGATCAGGGGCCAGTTAGGTGGTACAGTGGATAGAGCACCGGCCCTGAAGTCAGGAGTACCTGAGTTCAAATCCAGACTGAAACACATAACACTCACTAGCTGTGTGACTCTGGGCAAGTCACTTAACCCCAACTGCCTCACTAAAAAAAAAAAAAAAAAAAAAGGATGGGTTTAATATTTCAGCTTTTCTGCATATGTTTATGAGATTTTAATACATGGACAAAGAAAGTGCCATCTACAGCTGAGATATATAACACCTTTCTATTCTCATTCAGTAATCAATCACCAAAGACCTATTATATCTAACTTTTCTAAAATTCTATTCAAGTTCTTAATTTCTTTCTTATTTTATTTTTGTTAGATTTATTTGGGAATAAAAGGGGGTGCATAGAGGTTCCCAACTATTATAGTTTTACTGTCTAATTCTATCCATAATTTAACTTTTCCTTAATAAATTAGATGCTATGCCAACTGGTACATGTAAGTATTGATATGAATTAATTATCTGTAGTGTTTTTTGGCAGAATGAATTTCCCTATTTATCTCTTTTAACCAAGTCTATTTCTGCTTTCATCTTCCCCAAGATCTTGATCACTACCCACAATTTTTTGAATTCATCTGAAGCATAACAGATTTTTACTTCAACCCCTTGTTTTAACTCTGTGTGTGAATCTTTATGTTTTAAGTGTGTTTCCTCTAAACAATCAATTATGCTTTCTAATTCATTCTGCTACACTTCCATTTATGAGAGAATTCATTGTATTCATGGTAATATTTGTTGATTTCCTTCCATTCTCTTCTCTTATGCCTTCTCCTCTCTTTGCTACCCTTCTCTCTTTCTATAAAGAAGAGGGTGGTGATAGAGGAGGATGCACAGCACTAGTGTTATATTCTTGATGCAATCTATTTCTACTTCCCTCTCCTCTTTCCTTCTCTTTGCCTAGATACCAATCACAGATTCTTACTCTTTCTTTTTAAATCCTTTTCATAATCCACTCTGAGATTGAAAGGGTTTTTTGGGGGAGGTATTTTCCCCTCCCTGAGACTACATTCCTTCCTATTCCTCTTTCCCTTTTCCCAATTTCTTCTGATTTCCCCATTGAGTTGAATGTATTTTTATGCCAAACTGTGTGAGTATATTAGTGTGTGTGTGTGTGTGTGTGTGTTCTATCAAGCTTTAGTTTGATGAACATGAGGTTCAAATGACACCTATTTCCCTACTTCCTCCTTGTCTGTATGGTTGTCTTCTTGAACACTCTAATTCTGTGAGGAAATAGGTTCCCTCTACTCACAGTGTGCTAGTAAGTATTCAACATCTGTCTCTCAGAAAAAAAGAAATCATATGTACAACAAACTTTTAAGCTTAATCTGCATTTTCTCCATCATCATTCTCTTAAGTCTAGACAACAAACAAAACAATAAATCAAACCCTGATCTGACAGTCTCTGAGATGTAAATGTTTACAGTGGAAATTTAACAACAGGCTCTCAGGGCTGGTGTGAGCTGCTCACCCTTCCTCCTTCTTTCCTTGATCATTGCTTGAGCAGTTGTAGGAGAGGACTAAGTTGCACTGCTTCTGCCTACTCTACCATCTTTGTTGTATATTTGTGAGGAACTAATTTTAAAGAGACCTGCGCAAGATATCTAAGCAAACTTGTCCCAAAGATAAACATGATAAAAATGGAAAGAGAACTACAAATAGAAAAAACATATAAGAGATTTGCAAAAAACATTCCAATAAGTTGTTTTCTCCATAAAGGTTAAGGAAATCTTCACATGTAGACCCTAACATCAAGGACCTAGAGAACAAAGACAGGAAAAGAAGTTGGACAAAATATATATAGAAGAGATCTCTACTAAAGATGCTATCACTGAAAATACTGAAAGACCAACATATAACGTTTTTGAAGGAGAGGGAGCTATTAATGGCATGGAAATATTCCCAGATCTTATCAATACCACAAAAAAAAAGGGTAACTGAGAAAACAATAATAGTTACCACTCACAGGCCTACTCTCCCATTAGGCAGTAGGCTTGAAAGTTATATTGAACAATGGACCACAATGTTACCATATCACAACTAACTGAAAGATGTAGGGAATTTAAGCTCTTGTTGTATTTAGTGTTTGTTGATTGAAAAAAAAAAGCCATCTGATTCAGTAGGAAAACAAACTGCCTTATAGACTCTTTTACAGCAAGGTGTCTCCCATCCATACATCAAGATCATTCGGGACTCCTTGGGAAGAAATAAGAGAAATAACTCTATTTAATGACCTTGCCTCAGGCAAAGCATAAAATAGGGATAGGCATGCTTGCCAAAAGTATTTGCCACTATAATAGAAGAAACCCAGTGCAGAATTCTGGCTGAGAAGAGATTTCCTGTAGATGAAGATGACAAGATCCTTCAGATGCTCTTGATTGTAGATGACATTGTGTTGATTTCATCAAGCCCCCAAATAGTGCAGAGCCTCCTGGAAGAGATCTATAATTATTCAAAGGAGTTTAGTCTATCCATCCACACAGGAAGGGCTAAATTAACAAAGAATATCTATTGCCCAAACTTCAACAAGAATTTGGACAGATACCCTATAGAGCTTCTATGTATATCTAGCACAGACAGTGTAGATGGACAATGAGTTAGGCTCCAAGGTGAAGGAGAGTAAGCTGGACAAATTTTAGGAAGCCACACATCTCTTTTACTAAGCTGAAGCTTCTCATGAAAACAAAAGCCCACCTTTTCAATTCTAGTAAATTCTTTCAATACCAGTAAAGTGCATGTCACTGAGAAGTCAAACACATAACTAATGAGAAATTCCAAAGAACAAGAGTAAAAGACATCCTCAAGCAATTGTAGGATAGGAATAGAAGATGGACTGAGAACATGGCAAGAGTAAGGGATGACTAGGGGTCAACCAGTTACAGAGAGGCTCTGTTGGCATCCTAGAATCACTAGGCCTGTTTCATGTAGGAGATAAGGAAAAACAGAACCACTGAAATCACTGAAATTTTATTCATCCTATTCCTTTCTATTACTGCTTATCTTCCTAGTTTCAATCTGCTTATCTTTCTCATCATTTTAGTTCCATCTCATTCCTACTCTTGATTGATTTCTACTTTACATTTTCCCTGTCTAGTAAAGTGTCTCGCACAAAGTAGGCACTTAAAAGTATGCTGAATTGAATAGCATGGAGTGGATTTTATCACAAGGACAAAGAGTTTTATTTTCCTCCTAATGATACAGAAACCATTTTGGAAATACAGTATTGTCTGGGCAGCTAAGTGGCGCAGTGGATAGAGCACTGGCCCTGAAGTCAGGAGGACCTGAGTTCAAATCCGGCCTCAGACCAAACACTTGACACATACTAGCTGTGTGACCTTGGGCAAGTCACTTAACCCCGATTGCCTCACCCCAAAAAAATAAACAAAAAAAAAAAAGAAATATAGTATTGTAGTTTTGCAGAACATGAACAATGGTAATATAATCGAACAATTATTTAGGAAACAGGCTAATAAATATTTAATGTTGAGATAATTGAACTTACTCAGATAACTAATGAAAGTTGTGAAAATAAAAAATTTGTCAATGTAAAAAAAATCAATGTGGTACGTGGTGCTTGAAGTACTTATGACAAGCAATATTTTTATATGGATACTAACCCCAAGGAAATGTGCAAAAGCTGTAGTTCCTAAAGAGCACACCTCAATGACTGTTAGGGATATTGCACTGGTTGTTGATGTGGAGACATAAAACATTTCAAGGATCATTTAAGCTCATAATGAAAAAAGATCGGGGCAGCTAGGTGGCGCAGTGGATAGAGCACCGGCCCTGAAGTCAGGAGGACCTGAGTTCAAATCCGGCCTCAGACCAAACACTTGACACTTACTAGCTGTGTGACCCTGGGCAGGTCACTTAACCCCAATTGCCTAAAAACAAAACAAAAAAAAACAATGAAAAAAGATCAGTTGCACCAAAGCACAAAGAAAAGTATGGTTAACAAGGAATAATAAAACCAAAACTGAGAAATTATTGCTGCAAGTCAGCCTAATTAATCCTCAGGTGGTAATTATAGACCTTTCAAGAGACCTGGAAGATAGAAGGATTGTTATTATTTCCTCTGTACTGGGGCACTGGAAAAATAGTGAGAAGATCAATTAAAAAAAAAACAAACTTCACCATACCACCACCACCAAAAACATAAATAGCTGATAACCACTGCTATGAAGAAAAAACACTTGCCATAGACAAGTCAATAAAAAGACTGGAATACTAAAGATTGGACAAAATTTTTACTGATGAAATTCACTTTTTCATTCAAAACCATACCAAAAGTATTAGCAAAAGAAATTCAAGTGAGCTTATAAGGTCTGGAGTTTCTTCATCAAATGGGTAAAGTATCTACCTTTCAAAAATGTTTGGAGGATTTTTTACTTCCAGTAGGAAGTCTTGTCCCCACTGAGGGAATGATGAACTCTGATAAATACATTACTATACTAAGAAACAAAACTGTTCTAAAATTATGGATATTTCCAAACAGAGATTGAATACTATTATATAACCTGTGGAGATAAGCAAACTTTAGTGGCCTGGGAACTTACCTGATTTAAACTCTATTGAAAATAGAGTTTAATGCTATTAATAGCTAAAATGCTATTATCAAAGGCTAGACTAAGAAAAATGGTCTACTTTTCAAAAGATGTATCCAAAAGTATCCAATATGATAAAAGTGTGGTTTCAAAATGAACTGAAAAATCTATGTCAATTTAAAAGAACCAAAGAAACTAAAGAACAAAATAATCCTTGTGAATTCAATGCTAAAACACATACAAGTGATTGTGGCAAATAGTTGCATATTAATAATATTTTAAAGACATACAAAGTTGAAGAGTCAAGTATATAAGTCAATACATTTAATTATTTTACTTTGTCCTAAGCTGCAAACTACCGAAGAGATTAATATTTTTAGAAATAGAAAATTCCTTTTTTTCTTCCAATTTCCTCCATTTTCTTATGAAACCTAGCATACTATTTTATTAGTTGTAGGACACAAGTAAAAGTACTTACAAATCGAGGTGGTTGTTTACAGTTTCGGGGTTCAATTTCTTGTGATTTATTGAATAAATAATCTGTAAATTCTTTGTCTGATGCATTTCCCATAGGGTTGAGATTTTCAAAGAACCTCTGAAATAAAATATAGATATGAGTAATTTTTATGATCTTCAACATGAGCATAAATTGCATTCGTTCTTTCAAGAAAAATCCTGAAATGAAGCCCTATCCAAGACTATTTATTCATTTGTTTTCCCTTTTTTTCATTTCTTTTATTTTTCAAGTAACAACTGCCTACCTCTCAAGCAAAAGTGGTCATTAATAACAAACAAGTCTTTGGTTGAACAAACATGTCTTTGGATGAACAAACATAGCCTTGAAGACCAAGAAGAAGGCTCAAGATCAAAGATCATTTTGCCATGTTCAATAAACATCATTTTCTAAAGCTAACCCACAATAAACTCAATGCTCTACAAGCTATAATTATAAAATAACTTGACTAATTTTATACTCAATAAAATAAAAATCAGTCTTGTTATTTTGTTAGCCATATTTTATAAACAAGTTATTGTTTGAAATAGACTAAAAACTACTTCAATGGCAGGCATTAAGAGTTTACACACAGGTATACAACTGTGTTATATGCATTTAAACACCTACCATGTGCCAAGCACTATGCTAAGCATGTGTATGTGTATATAAGTATGTATGTATATATGTGTGTTAGACTAAGAAATACATATATTATGTATAGATACACATGTATTTTTATGTGTATACATACATATATATCTAATACTATAGCGCGTTACAGTTTTCAAAGTACTTTAATTTACATTATTCTTATTTGATCCTCATGATAACTGTCAGTAGGTATTTTTTTTATTTGGCAGGTGAATGAAATGTAAGAAAAAATATGACTTGCTCAAAGTTATAAAGCTAACAGCAAAACTATTATTTCTAATAAGCAACACTGATACCACAGCTTAAGCCTATCAGTAATAAGCAATAAATCAGGATCACAGGATCATAAATTTAGACTTAGAAGAGATCTTAGTTGATACCTAGCAGAGAAGTTACCTAACTTGTATAAGGCCACACAAGTAAATGGTAGAGGCAGGGTACAAACCTAAGTCTTCCTGTTTTCTGAAAGAGCCTACAGGTAGTTTGTGTCCCAGACACTTGTTTGTATCACTGTTTGTAACTCACAATGTATTTACCCATAGAAAAAAATGTTAAAAATGGTAGTTAAAAGTTTCTAGACTAACTCATGAATACCTACTTGTCCTAAAATGTACTTAAAATTAGTAATTATATTTCTTATCATAATTTAACATTGTTTCTATGGGAAAACACATTCCAACCATCAATATAAGTCGTGAAAAGCACCTCATGCCAATACAGTGGGAAGGTGATCAAAAATCTAACCTAATTCAATAAGAATTTATGAAGTCCCTCTTCTGTACAAGGCACTGTCCTAGTTGTAAGGACATAAAGACAGAAAAGAAACAGCCCCTGGTCAAGAAGCTTATGTTCTACTGGGAGGACACACCACGTACACAGGTAAGTGGGGAGGGGGAGGGGGCTGGGTACTAACTGAGGGAGAAAGTGAAAATGAAGAAGTCTCTTTGCCAGGAAAACCCCAAATAAGGTCATAAAGAGTCAGACTACTGAAAAACAACTCAACAATAATCTGTGAAGAACTGATTCTGATGACGGTACATACTCCCAGATAACAGTAATGATAATTTTGCAAAAAAGAAAGCAGGTATCTAGGTCAATCATTACTGAGATCTTGTTAACTGAGTAGGAACTTTTGCAGAGAGGATCCCCTTTGTCCATGTAAATATTCTATAGTCAAAGACTACCTGTATGGACTCACTAAACCAGGTTCACTGAAAAAAAAAAAAAAAAAAGGAAGCATACTGCTTCTGTACAGCAGAAAAAGAAGACCTGGGTTCAAATTGCACCTCTGATACTTACTACCTTTGTGACCCTGGTCACAAGCTTCCTCCCTTGTAAAATGACAGGGTTAAATTAAGTGATCTCTAAGCTCCTTTGAGCTCTATAATCTATGATGTTCCTGGTATGAGTGAGTAGGAATGTAGGCATTCTGGTTAGTGGAAAGTTAACACATCTGCTATACATGTTACTATTTTTTTTTAAAAAATTAGAATACAATAAAATCTACTTAACAGTCAAATAATACATTTAAATATTGATTCAGATAATTATATATATACATCTTTAGGATAATTATCAAAGTAAATCATCATCATCACCACACTTTAGAGAAGTGCTAGTTAAAAGTTCTAGCTGACAGAATTCTAGGTAAACCAGTTTTTACTGTGTGTATATATAAATATATTACCTTACCATAACACAAAATTTTACTCCCTATTAAAAACAAGTAAATTTAACAATTACATTAATTCATTTATACAGTGCTTTAAGGTTTGCAAAATGCTTTCATTGAAAACAACCCAATGAGTTATGTAGGGCAAAAGTTATCTTTATTTTATAGATGAGGAAACTGAGGCTCTGAGAAGTTAAATAACTTGCCTTTGGTCATACCAGATCATTTCACAGGTGGAGTTGAATTCAGATTTCCTGACCCCAATTCTAACACTATTTCCATTATACCTCTCTACCTAATTATATTTATATAATGTAAAGCATCCAAAATAGTTAGCAATATTAATATGTGATCAGGAAGCATATAAAAAAGATCAGTAAAAATATATTCCAAGAAGCATATTGTCTTTTCTTCCTTGATCTTTTTTTTTTTAAAGTAGGATTCCAAATTACTGTCAAGGATGGTTGGACCAATTCACAGTTCTGCTGATAGTGTCTTAATGCCTTGTGTCTGTCTTCTTGTAGTCCCTCCTGGATGAAACTATTTCATCTTTTGTCATCTTTATCCATTTTCTGGATATAAAGGTTAAACTTTAAAATTGTTTTCACTTGCACTTTTGTCATTAGCAATTTGGAACAATTTTTTATATATCTTTTATAAAAGATTCCAATTCTTTTGAGAACAGTTTCTTCATGTCTTTTGACTACTTATCCACTAGGGTAATATAAAAACTATAATACTGTTTAAAACTATTATGTGGGAATATGCAAAGGATCTCTAATTTCATCAGGATAACAAACTTCCAGTAGAGGAGCTCCCTACTCCAAAGCACACCACTACTAGGAACTGCTCAAGGCACATAAGTTAAATGACTTGTCCAGGGTCACTCTAAGTATTGTGAAGAGTTGAGATTTGAACCCACATCTTTTTTTTTTAACAATCATATTAAACATATTTCCACATTAGTCATGTTGTAAAGAATTAAAACCAAAGGGAAAATTTACAAGAAAGAAGAAAAAAAAAAGAAAATAGTATGCTTCAATCTGCATTCAGACTCCATAGTTCTTTCTCTGGATGTGGATAGCATTTTCCATCGTGAATCTTTCAGGGACACTCTTAGCTCCTTCTACAACATTTGTCTCTCTGTCTTACCTCCCCCATTGGCTATACTGTATATTCTAAGTGCAGGAATGATGCCTTGTTTTTTTTCTAACATGCAAGTGAATTGGATTTAAGTGAGGGAGGGCTGTGCAAAGTCACCAGCTTCACTTTCTTCTCAGGAGCCATGTGAGTCCAGTGGCAAGATAGAGATCAGGACTACTGGAAGTGGCCCTGGGGACCTTAGATCTTTTATGCTAAGGTCTCAGTTTGACTGAGGCAAGGCAACATTCAGTGATGAAGACCAGGACCTTGCAATAGGCTTTCTGCAAGCAAAATCAATAACATCCAATTGGAGCTTGTCATCATCACAGCAATGGATGAACATTGGGTATGTGACTGTGCCAGAAAGAGATAGAGAAGGGGACAAGTAAACTTACCATGCAACTGAATCAAAACCAAAGATTTCCTACAGAAAACAGGGCCTCGCCTTAGCCATTACATCCAGAAAGAAGCAGGGCTAGCCCATGCTATTCAAGAGCACAGGAGGGAATAGAATCTCACTAAAGCACAAAGTCCCAATCCAGAAATCAAAGCTAGAGATATTAATAAAGAGCAAAGAAGAAGAGTTATTCTATAGCAAATCCAAATAGAGTCTATAGAAAAGAATGGCTTGGCCACAGGAACTACAAAGTACCTAGAAGAAATGAAGCAAAAGCAACAAAATGTAATGTTAAATGAAATAAGGACTATGGGGAAAAGAGAAATAGCTTAGAAAAGAACATGGTAAACTTTATCTAATAAAAGGACTCCCTGAAAACTAGAATGGGCTAAACAGAAAGTAATGACTCTATGAGACTACAATAAATATTTTGAAAAGTCAGAAGATTAAAAAAAGAAGAAAATATGTATCAACAAAAACTGACCTGCAAAGGATATGGACAGGCAGTTCTCAGATGAAGAAATTAAAACCATTTATAGTCATATGAAAAAATGCTCTAAATCACCATTGATTAGAGAAATGCAAATTAAACACTCTGAGGTACCACATCATACCTATCAGATTGGCCAACATGATGAAACAGGAAAATGATAAATGTTGGAGAAGATGTGGGAAAATTGGAACACTAATGCATTGTTAGTGGAGTTGTGAAATGATCCGACCATTTTGGAGAGCAATTTGGAACTATGCCCAAAGGGCTATAAAAATGTGCATACCCTTTGACCCAGCAATAGCACTTCTAGATCTGTTATCTCAAAGAGATCATAAAAATGGGAAAAGAACCCACATGTACAAAAATATTTATAGCAGATCTTTTTGTGGTGGCAAAGAATTGGAAATTGAGGGGATGGCCATCACTTGGGGAATGGCTGAACAAGTTGTGGTACATGAATACAATGGCATACTATTGTGCTATAAGAAATGATGAACAGGCTGACTTCAGAAAAACCTGGAAAGACTTGTATGGTCTGAGGCTGAGTGAAATGAGCAGAACCAGGAGAACACTGTATACAGTAACAGCCACAATGTGTGATGACTAATATTGATAGACTTAACCCTTCTCAGCAATACAAGGATCTAAGACATCTCCAAAGGCCTCATGATAGAAAATGCTATCCACATCCAAAGAAAGAACTATGGAGTTTGAATACAGATCGAAGCATGCTATTTGCTAATTTTTTTCTTCTGTTGCATTTTGTTTCCTCTCTCTGGTAGTTCCTCCTATTGGTTCTAATTCTTACCTACAACATCATGAATATGAAAATATGCTTAATAGGAATATATATGTATAGCCTATATCACATTGTGCACCATCTTGGGGAGGGAGGTGGAAGGGAGGGGGAGAAAAATTTAAAACTCAATAGTTTATGGAAGTGATTGTTGATAATTCAAAATAAATTAATTAAAAATTAAAAAAAAAAAAAACAACTGACCTGGAAAACAGGCCAAGGACAGATAATCTGAGGATGAGATTACCCGAAAATTATGATACCGTCCTACCCAACTCCTCCACAAAGCCTGGATATCACACATACATCAAAACTTCCCAGATCTATTAGAACCAGAAGGGAAGATGAAAACCCAAATAATACCCAGGTCACCTTAGGAAAGGAATCCCCAAAGGAAAACAGCTAGAAATGTCATAGTCAAAATCCAGTTTCCAGATCAAAGAAAAAATACTACAATAAGTAAGCAAGAAAAAAAATTCAAGTACAAAAGAAACAGTCAGAAAAAAAATTCAAGTACAAAAGAAACAGTCATAATCCCACAAAACTTAATAGCTACTATTGTAAAGGAGATTTTGAAATATAATTTTCCAAAAGGCAAAAGATGCAGATTTACAACCAAAAATAGGTTTCTAAAGTCCAACATGCTCATACTAGTGCGAGCACAACTACAGAAGCAGACAATAAGGTTAAGATTTAAAAGGAAATGGAGGCCTTCCCCTTTACTTCCAAGAAAACTCTACATGAGGTCATGAAGAGTCAGACAACCAAAAAGCAATGGAACAAAATTCAGGGGGACCATATTCAAAGAGATCAAACTAAGTAAGCATCAGGGGCTATAAGTCATGAGGCTTACACTTGCATCAGGAAATAAATGCACTGCACAATACAGGGAGATTTCCCAGGCATTGAAAGCAATAGAAAAGAAAACACATATGGTCATAAGTACCACAACAAAGTTTTTTAAAAAGAAAGATTCATAATCCAGTGATTCCTTTAATGTCATAAAAGTTGAACAAACTTAATTAACCAGAGTTATGATTTCAAATATCCCCTAAGGAAACAAACCTAGTTAAACAGATTTTATAGGTAAACTAAGTCATGTTACAGATTAAACTACATTTAGAGGGTTCACAATGGGTTGATTAAGGGAGAAGACACTTAATATTAACAGAAAACAGGCTTTTAGTTAACCAAAAGTTCTAGGAAAAATGGCCCTGAGCCTTGAATAAAAATTAATTAAAAAATGAAATTTTATATGTAAACTCTTTAATCCAAATTTGAGAATTTATTACTAAAACATAATCAAAACCTGTATAGTCCATTAGAAACCAATTGCATGTATGTATGTATATCCTTGTTCTTACAGAAAATCGTTTAATCTTGTTTACTACTCCATTAAAATTTAAATTTTTTACATAAATTAAAAAAAACCTTTTAGAATTGTCTTAGATTCTTGTATTGCTGAGAAGAAATTATATCAAAGTTGGTCACTGCACAATGTTGCTGTTACTTCATACAACACTCTCCTGGTTCTGCTCATTTCACTCAGCATCATGAACCCACATCTTCCATACCCTAAGTCCAGCTATTTACTATAGTACACTACACTGGGTAAGTCAGCCTAGAGACCTTAGTCTCCTCACCTGTAAAAGGAGGAGGTTGAATTACATAATTTCTCCAGGGTCTCTTCCAGCTATAACTCTAAGATTTTATAACTCTATGGACTGTTAAGCATTGGTTTTTGTGATCTCACACAAAATGTTACTTTTTGGTGGGAAAGATTCATCAGTGGCCAATGTGTAAACTCCCTTGACTCATGAAGACAGTCAATCTTTAGAGAACTTTCTGAAGCACTGAGAGATTAAATTATTTGTCCAGGGTCACACAACTAGTATGTATTAGAGACAGGACTTGAACAAGTCTAGTTCTCTACCCACATGACCTCTCAAAATAATATTATGGCAAAATAAATACTATTATAATTAATTATAACATATCAACATTTGAAATGTTCTCTTTAAAATTTAGTAAAAGAAAAATTTTACCCTTATTTCTGATTCTATCCGTAAACAATAAGGCTGATTCTGATACTGCTGAATCTCTCCAGTAATTTCAGCTACTTTCCTTCTTTTACTAAAGTTGATTAGTTCTTTCCCTTGTTTTTTAAGGAAATCATTATTCCCTTCTTCAGTTTTCAGAATATTTGTTAAATATATTCCTATAAAAAAAAAGAAAAAATTCATTATTCCATTTTCATTTTACATGATAGTCAATGTTATTAGGAGATGAGGATAGGGTCTAGGACTAGATCTATAATTTAAACTATCAGTTTAAATCCCCTATATCATAGGGAATTCCTTGGCGAGAAACCTCCTTCTACCAGTGTTAAATTGGCACCTTCTCTGTGATTTTATAGTCTTAGAGAGTTGCCCAGATTCCTAATAGGAGAACTGATTTGCCCAGGGAAATACAGCCTGTACATCAGAGGCAAGTCTTCTCAGCTGGCTCTCTACCCACTATGCCATGCCCCCTTGCGTTAAATGTTATTAATTACATATTTTTGCCTCCAAAGGGCACAAGCATTACAAGGTATATAATATATAAAGGTAATCAAGGATTAACTATGGGACTTTGAAAGCAATGTTTTAAATATATAGTGTGGGCAACTTAACAGGTAAATCCTAATTTATTTAGTGGTGAATATGCCATTAAAAAAGACTCTTATCATAAAAAAATTTTAAAATAAAGCATTTTACCTTTTTTTACTTTATTTGAATAAAAAGATAGGAGTAAAAAGGGAAGAACCTACAAATTCTACATTCTAGATTAAGAAAATTAATTTTTTTACCCCTGACCAACAGTTTTGTAATGATTCATACAATCAAAGGATTTGTCACTAGAAGAAATGTTAAAAATTATCTAGTCCAACCACTAAGTTTTACATGTGATGAATCTGAGGTCCAGGAAAGTTAAGTGACTTGCCCAAGATAGAGGTGGGATCTTTGCCAGGTCTGCTCCCTTCAAAGCCAGTGTTCTTTCCACTTGGTCACCCTTCAAACTCATTCAATCCAACAAATCTTTATTAAGCGCCTACTGTGGTAGGCACTGGTAGAAAGACATATTTGAGAGCTTAAAGTGGAGTAGGAAGACATGCAGGGATGTACTGGAGCCTGCTCAAATTGGCTTGTGAGAGATGATTTGTTAAATTTTCATAGTGAGATTTTACACCATAGAAATCAGCAAACACTGCAAACCAGGGATTGATTGGTTTTCTGGACTGTCTAGACTTCAGAAAGTCATGGTAAAATGTTAATAAAGCAGATTAAACTTAAAAGTGTGTTGTGTGTACCTTCCCCCGAGAGAGTCAGTTTACCAACACACTGCTAGGGATATGGTTCATACACTAACAACCATAACAACTGCAAAGACCATGATAAATGCTTGAGAAGTACCAAAGTAAGTGGGAATTTCAAGAGGGAAAATAGTCAATGCTGGTTAGTGGGAATCAGAATTAAGAAAACATGGGGCATGGTAAATCATCCAGTTTAGCTGGAGCTTGTCATTAATACTAAACCCCGATATAATAACATTGGGTCAATTACCCAATATACACTGCTCTTAAAGAATTGTCACTATTAATTATTTTGCCTGATGATGTATTTTCACGAAACTAATAAATTTACCAGATCACAATTTATTTGAATGTTTCTCTCAAAACCTATACAATTCAGATATCAAAATAAATTATTCTTCTTTGTTTCCACGTAAGTATACAGTAGCAGTTTGTAACTGCTCAAATATTGGTTTATGTAAATCATTCTTTAACAGCACTGAAGAAAAACACCTAAGAGAGGAAATGCAAGGCCATTCTAAAGAGATTTTTTTTCAAAGCAAAAACCTTGCCTACTAGACACATATTGCAATATGTTGAAAGGAAAGAAAAAAATATATAAATATATATTGACAGTATTATAAAATGAGTATCTGGTGACTTACCAAAAAAAGGCACACAAGGTGGGTTGATTGATTTAAGTTTTGCTAGGTATTTTTTAAAGTGATCTTGGCTTAATTCTACAGCTTCATCTAAAATCTTGCGTTTTCTTTCCTGTAATGCCTTAAAACAAGTATAAATTCTGTCAAAGGTGCAGGTTGCCACTCCCTTTTAATCTTGTTGCTATAAATGGATCATATTTAATTAAGTTCAGGTTAATGCCATGTATATTTTTTAAAAACTACCAATATACCTCCTTTTACGAAAAGCCAATGACAATACCTAAAAGGATTTTTTACTTAACAAAACGATTCCATTAATGCATTCTAAATGATATGTAAGAACTTGATTTACACACAACTTTTCAGAAACACATACCACATAAAATAAGGAATATTTTCATTTGCTCATGAACACAAAGCCCAAACACATTTAACACACACACACACACACACACACACACACACACCTCTTTTCCCCACTTAAATGATAAATTAAAAGATGAAACCTAAAGATTGCATTGTTTTTGAAGCTCTGCCATCTTTCATGTTTGATTTCGTGTCAGGTCACCCTGCTCCTAAGTGTTACATATATTTAACTTTTTCTGAAACTAAAGTTTTTATAACACCTCTTGAGATAACTAAGCCAACCTAAAGTTCTCAAAAATCAATCAGTTCTAGTCAACAGATCAAGTACTTTTCCCAAGTATTTCCCGTATTGGTGCAAATTTCTGTGTTGTTTTTTTTTAACTTATCCTTAAATAAATTTTTTAAAGTGAATTTAAAATTTAAAAAGGGTACTGGACTGAATTTTTTTACAGCTGTTTTCATAGTCCAGAAAACAGAAATACAAATTTCCCTATATTATTCCTTCTTCAACCATATTCTCAAGCTATAATCTTCTTTGGTCAGTCAAAATGGTCACATGTGGCACAGTAACAAAGCTCATTCACTTGTTACGCCTTTGTACTAAGGCATACTAGAAAAAATCTATACATCCTGTATACTATATACCACTAACCTTAAATGATCTAGTTTCAATTTTCCATTTTTGTCTGCAATAATACTAAATTTATCATACTAAAGAGATTTTCTAAAAATGTAATTATACATTTTATATATGACATATGATACATTATATAATTTACAACTGGACCTATGACTTCACAGATATAGGAAACAGGTGCAGACACTCCCTGTAACAAGGCAGGTTGGCACCTTTTCTATAACCCATTTCTTACTTGGAGATTAACTACTTTGGATTTCTGTGACTAACTTCTCCTGGGAAGCTCATTATATGAGGATAACTTCAGCATCCTTTAAGATCTCATCAGCCTTGGAATTCTACCTTATCACTACACTCTGCCTCTTTGATTGGAGACTGGGGCCACAAACTCCAAACCCCCATTTAAAGAAAAACCTCAGCTCAGGTATCTCTCATCCAGCTGTACTACTTTAGGACTTCTCAGACTGACTTCTCCACCACACCCCCTCATCAGGAACCTTTTCTCCCTCTCTTCTCCCATCACAGCAGCTTCCTTGAGGGCAGGGCCTGTCTTTCTTTTTTCTTATTTTTATTCCTAGCACTTAAACACAGTGCTTGGGGCATAGTAGGTGCTTAATAAATGTTTATTGACCAAAAGGTTGCCTACCACACAGAGAGGTTAAGTGATTTGCTCAGGGTCACACAGTGTCGATATATTAGAGGTGGGACTTGAATACAAGCCTTGTTGGCTTGAATCTGACTCTCCATCAATGCTATACAGCCTCCTTACCACATTTAATGCAGGTATATAATATACATATATAAATATATATACACATACACACACATATATAGATTTAGATCTTTCTATATATATATTGTTTCTTCTTCTTTTGGAAGAAGGAAATATTTATGGTCTAAGACTTACTTCAAATGTGTGGTCCAATCTGTACACAGGTACTGAATTCACTGCACTGACTATCTCTAATACACCATTGAAATTGTTCAAGTCTTGAAAAACTTGCAAAATTTCTATAATCCTACTTAATACTGCCACTCGCTCTTCAAAGTTTTCTGCTTCTACTATGCACCTGGTCAAAAAGAGATAGAAGGAAATACGGCTTAGAAAATTTGCATGAGTTTTAAGAATTGTTTTTTAATTACTTAACTTCGATTTTGACATTAGAACTATACCACACATACACTTACTTTTCAAACCAGAGAGTAAGATTTGTAGTATGCCGAATCATTTTCAATAAATTTGGGGAATTTATTTCCTTATCTTCTTTAGTCCACACACTTCCCACAAGTTCAGAAGGCTGCACTGCCCTGTTGAGCCAAAGGTCAATGAGAAGGAAGAAAAGATTAAATTAATATTTATAATAAGTAGAAGTAGAAATAGTCAGTATTAGTAAATTCTGAACTGTGCATTAAAAAAAATGACATGTACACACACAGCAAATAATTTATTGATCCCTCAGGCCTTTTGGTTTCATAGAAATTATTCTCAGTGACCACATCTAGGATAGACAGAAGGAAGGTTCACAGGTTCTCTCTGGAGAGGCAAATGAAGAAGTTGGTGGAGCAGATTACATTTCACATGCCCAAAGGCAACAAGAACAAGAATTTCAGTAGATATTTCGTTCCACACTGACTCAGTCACCAAGTCTTGGTCAGTTCTACCTTAATAATATAGCATCTAACCTGCTTTTTCTCCACTTAACAGCCTCTACCCTAAGTTTATACCTTCATCATCTCTTACGTAGACTACTGCAATAGACTTCCCGCTTTCAATCTGTCCTCTCACTAATGCATTGTTAGATAGCTACCAAAACGATATTTCTAAAACATAGATTGGATTCTATCCCTCTCCTACTAAGATCTTGAATAGTTCCCTACCACCTTTAAGATAAAATAGAAAATTTTCAGCCTAACCCTTAAAGCCCTCCACAATATGTCTCCTAGCTACCTTTCTAGTTTGTCTTATTAGTCCCCTCCATGTCTTCTCCATTCCAACTCACAATCTTTCTTCTCCCCTCCCCCCCCTCCCCCCCCCCACTCAACTCCTGCCTTCATACTAGGGGATTTCAACATACATAATGATATTTCCTTAAACATTCTAAACTCCCACACTTACTTGTTTACACTCCCAACTTACTTGTTTTACATGACCTATTCCTCCACCCATTCCTCCACCCCACCATTTTGTTGTTATTGTTCAGTCATGTCCAACTCTTTGTGATCCCATTTGGAGTTTTCTTGACAAAGATACTGGAGTGGTTTGCCATTTCCTTCTCCAGCTCATTTTACAGATGAGGAAACTGAGATCAACAGGATTAAGTGACTTGCCCAGGGTCACACAGCTAGTAAGTGTCTGAGACTAGATTTGAACTCAGGAAGATGAGTCTTCCTGACTCCAGGCCCAGGCCTCAATTCACTTTTCCACCTAGTTGCCCCCCACCCCACTACAGAGATGGTCATTACTGTTGATCTTGCCATCATCCACAAATGCTCCACTTTCATGTTCAGGAATTCTGAAATTACCTTATTTAATCACAATCTGTCATTTTACCTCTCCCTCTGCCTTGCAACCCCAAACACTGTTCATCTTTTTTGTGACCTCCAATTTTTTGACTCCTTGATTCTTTTAACAGGTCATCACCCTTTCACTCTCCTTTCCCCATCTTGACCCCTTGGTAAATCAGTTCAACTACACCATACTCTCCTCTCAAATTCCTTGCTCCCTTATTCTATCACCAATCTTTCCCCTGCCAAGCCTCAATCTTGAATTTTACTCCCATCATCTACTGCTTTACTCCTACTCATGTGCTACTGAACTTGAGAAAATCACAAAACCATGCTAACTAGGGTCTCTGCAAGTTGATAATCTGAACTAGACCCTCACTGCAGCAAGGCAATCCTTTTATACCTCTCTGACTTATTATACCTTTCACCATAATGTCTTTTCCAAACCTTTCCATCCCTCCTCAAACCCCAATTGACTTCCCCTTCCCTCAACTTCTTAGCTTCCCCTCCCCCTTCATCTTGACTCATATCTCACTGAAAAAAAACTAATTGAGAAATCCCTCTTCTTCCCTTCTCAAATCACATTACTTAGATGGTGTCACAGTAAGGGAGTGTCAGCTCCAATAACCAAGCCAGATCCCAGTCTTGGCCTGGCAGACCAGAAGTGGAGACAGAACAAGCACTTTAGAGGTTACTGAAGGGAGAATGAAGCTGGAAGTTCTGGAGCGCAATTAGGAGACAGAATCAACTCAGTCCTGGGACAACAGCTTCAAGATCAAATTAGGAGTGAACTAGGAATTTGGGAAGAAAAAAAAAGACCAAAAGGGTAATTAATAGCTTGGAAAAGAAGGTGGAAACCCTACTCAAATAGTATACTTCATGGAAAATTAGGATGGAGCAAACAGAACTCACTCCATAGTGAGAAATATTAGAATAAAGTGAAAAGATTGAAAAGATAGAAGAAAATGTTAAAATGTAAAAATAGAAGAAAATATAAGACATATAATTTTGCCCAACCATATGCCAACATAACCAACTTATATAAAATCAATAAATATTTACAAATATTCTACTCACAGGTTTGGCTAGATTTGAAGGGTTTTTTGGGGGGGAATGGGGGGTTATGGCAACAGTAGAAAAAAGGGTAACCTACACATGAATAGTTTTCTAATACTCATGCCTTTCATTTCATGGAAGAAAGAGTTTAAAATTCTGTTTTTACTTGCTAAAGCTTTTTTATATCTCTCATCACCTAGAATGTTCTGAAAATAATAAGAGCTTAGGGGCAACTAGGTGGCACAGTGGACAGAGTTCTGGCCTTGGAGTCAGGAGAACCTGAGTTCAAATCCAGCCTCAGACACTTGACACCTACTAGCTGTGTGACCCTGGGCAAGTCACTTAACCCCAATTAACTTACCAAAAAGCAAAAAAAAAAAACCAAAACAACAAAATAATAACAGGAGCTTGATATATCTGATTAGTGAAACGAATAAAATTGAATTGCTACTTCACTGAAGGAGACTAAGTGTCAGCTTTGTTTTCTCTCTAGGTCATGGAATCTGGTAATATGATTTCACTTTAATAAAAATGTATGGTGACAATATAATTCTGAAAGTCTACATGGTATGCCATTTGAAATTTTACTTGTAGTAGTCAAATTCCATACTTTAAAGTTTCAGAGCCCAGCTCTGATTCTTATAAGCTACATGACCATGGGGTCAAATCACTCCTCTAAGCCTCAGTTTCCTAATCTGTAAAATAGAGACAATACTTAAACTGCCTTTAAATTTTTTTTTAAAGGAAAGTACTCCATTAACCTTAGAGTGAGATATAAATGTGAGTTACCTCTATAATATAAGCATAAATAGCTTACATAAATAGCTTATGATTTATAAAACAGATAAAATACCACTGTGTCTGTAGACCCTTGAAAGCAGAGTAATAGATAATTTTAAATTCTCTACCTGTGGCAGTATTGAATTACCTGTAGAGGTCAGATTCCAGAAGTGTTAGTTGACGTGCAATTTCTATTGGATGAAGGGTCATGAGATCAAATGTTTCATATTGTCCTGGTCTGCTAATATGCCACTCAATTGATGGTGGTGGGCTTTCGAAAGTAATATTATGGCTAATTCCATTTGCCTGAGCTTGTTTTTTCCTCTTGATGATTTTAACAATTGATTCTACCCACTTCTTCATGGTTTTTCCTGAAAAATAAAAAAGATCTGTAGGAAGAACTCATATGCAAGTATATTAACATTCTGGTCAAATAATTTTGCCAAAACATTTACTTTATGCTATTTTAGGAACTACTCAAATCATAGAATATGCAGCTTTCTAGATGACAGACAACATATACAGAAATTTTAAAATGTCTGGGTTTAGATTTTATATTAATCAGTTCTTATTAATTAATTAGTTAATCAGTTTTATATTAATCAGTTATATTAATCATGAAAGTAAAAAAGATAAACCAACAAAGAAGGCATGTTTTAAAAGTGGAACAAACACTTCAAAATGACTACTTTAAACCAAAATCTTTTAAGAACAAAGGAGAGGAAATTAAGCCAGGCTTAAATCTGGTGTGTTTAATCAATGCTTAGTATTGTTTTTGGGCAAAACTTAATGATTCACTCAGTGAAGCAAAGAATTTGTCCATTTGTCTAAACTTGTATTTTTTTGATTTAATGATGTAATATTCTGCTCTGAAATGTCAAGAAGTAAACCCTATTGCTATTTCACTCTCTTAATATGCCTAGAAGTGCATTTTCTGTTTATCACAGAAGGAAGAAAAATATTATATGTAAACTGCAAATCATCCAATAACCTAGGAAATGAGTATTAACAGATATCTATTTTCCACATATTTTCTTCAGGTTAAAAGTATGATAGCTGAAAGATAAAACATATAGGATCATCTGGACAAACCCCCTAACTACTTTAAATATAGAATGACCACAAGAACTCAGAAGCCCAAATAACAAGTTTAAAATAATTTTGAAATGACTCCAGGTGATTCTAAACATGAGTCATCTGATAAAGACTGCAAAACTCTATATTGTCCTAATTGTTGTTCCATTTACTTTAAAATTAGATGTTTGGGCAAAACAATAAAAAAGCATTATCTTTTTCAGAAATCACACAGATTTTGAAAGTAACCAATTCAAATTTAAGTTACAATCAGACCTTGAAATGACATACCTTTTACACTTGAAATAAAGGATTCTAATTTTTCAAGTAACTCCAGATCTCTCTCAAAATCATAAAAATGATGTTCTACCCAGTGGCGAAATACATTTAGTATCCTAATAAAATGGAAGATAATAAAGAACACATTTAATCCAAGCACTCAGATATTATTTTTTACATTTCTCAATACCATGATGACAGCCCTAAGTGCAACGGTCAATACAAAATAAAGGGAAAAAATAGCTACTCCCAATAAAATAAGTATAATATCTTTAAAATTTTGACAATGTCAAGACAAAATTAAAAAAAAACTTCTTAATAGGAATATATATGTATAGTCTATATAAGATTGTGTACCGCCTTAGGGAAGAAGGTGGGGAAGAATGGGGAGAAAAATTTAAAACTCAAAAGCTTATGGAAGTGATTGTTGATAACTCAAAATAAATTAATTAAAATTTAAAAAAGAAAAAAAACAAAAAACCTCAAAATATTTAATATTTAAAAAACTTTTAAAATCCTTTTACCTTAAAACAAAAATATATTATTTTTCCTATGATTAATTAGCTAGTTATCTCAAGAAGAAAATTTTCCTTATTCATATGAATCTTTAACTTCCATTTGCCTTAGTTTCCTCATCTGTAAAACAGGGATAATAACAGCACCTCCCTCCCAATGTTGTGAGATCAAATGAGATAATACTTGTAAAGTGTTTAGCACAGTACTTCGCACATAGTAAATACTATATAAATGTTAGTTATTTATTATAAATTGTGCATTAGGTTTAGCCAAAGCATTGCTGTTTCTTTCTACATATTTTTATCTTATTTCTCTTAAGTTAATTTTTATCAATTAGTAAGATAATTTTCTTGCTAAAAACTAATCTCTGTAGATTTTTTTTGTGAAAAGCTCTAGAGCTCCTATAAAAATAAAGTTATATAAAAATTCAAGATAATTAGATAAGAAAAAAAATAAAAAAGAAAAGTTAAGTTCAACAACAGTCAATTTAAGTCTACTTTTTGTCCTAGACTTATTTCATTGTTATAGGGAATTCCTAGTGAGGAATCTGTGTCAAATATAGGCAACTATTCTGCAACATAATCTTAGAAAGCTGCCTAAGGAAAAAAATTTAAAAAAAATAAAAAAAGAAATAAAAAGAAAAAAAAAAAGAAAGCTGCCTGAGGAATTAAGATATTAAGTGACTTGTTGAGGATCAAAGACCTGTTCTCTATTCACTATGCCACCACAACCTCTTAAGACACGAATACCAATATACATATATATATATATACATATGTATACATACATACATACATACATACAGATAGATGTAGGCAAAGATATATCTTGATAAAGAAATAGAGATATACCTATTATATTTATATATAATTTTATAGAGCTTAATTATACTTGAAAATAAATACTAGGACACTAGTTTATAGGAATAAGAACCCATTTGTAGAGAAAAATCATGTAATTGTAAATAACCAGAGCATACTTTGCCACTTGAAGCTTCACTGTGTTTGACAATATAATCACACATAAAGCAAACATAAAGAAAGACAACAGCAACACCTGCATCTGACATCAGAGGGGACAAGTCTGTGCTATATGGAAAAGAAAAATTGGGTCGAACGTGAGGAATACAATACTGGGCGTCAAACCTAAGTTGTACTGGTTGGACATATTCTTTGCGAAACCGTTTCAGATCTGCACTGATTGGTTGCTCTCCTTTCTCTACTGCCAATTTATCTGCTTCTGTAGGTTCTGGCTCAGGGATTTCAAATCTAAGGAGAGAGGAAAATTAAAGACAAACGCTTAGTTATTTTTGTAGGTGAGAATTACAATGGATGGGAAAGTTCAAATACTCTCTAATTTGCCAACCACAGCCTCTTTAACCTCCACCCCACCCCTTTCAAACAAAATCAACTTTTAAAAAAGTCAAGTAGATATAAAGAAATATCAGACAATTCAGAGTAAGCAATTAGATAGTTATTTGACTAATTCAACATTCCGGCCACAAGGGTCCTTTCTTCATTAGAAGATATATTTGTTAACTTCAATGGAAATGAGTAGAGTGTGTTTGCACCATAGATTTAAAAGTGTACCTTTGCTTCAAATACTGTGCTAGAAAGAAAAATCTAGACAACTAGATATGCCTTATCCTCCACCCACTTCCATCTGGTAAAAATAATAAAAAATATTGCAAAACTAATAAAATATCTGATGGTTATACAGCACTTCAAGGTTTCCAGGTGGCTCTACAGCAATATAACAATGAAAGTAAAGAAATGGAAACAAAACAGGTGTCCATTAACTGGGGAATGGCTGAACAAATTGTGTAATGCAATGGAATTTTGTAGCACCATAAGAGATAAGGAATATTCTAGAACAAAAGAACTATGGGAAAATTTGTATAAAGTGATGCAGAGTAAAGTGACCAGAACCAAGTAACCAATTTGCCCCATGACCACAATAATATAAAGACAAAAAATTCTGAAAGAACTCAAAACTTTGAATAAAGCAATGACTTATCATGATTTCAAAAGACTAATGATAAAGCATGTCTTCTACCTCTTGGTGGAGAGATGATGGACTAAAGCTAGAGAAGAAGGCATGCATTTTAAGATGGGACCAATATCTTGATACATTACACATATTTGTTATATATATTTATATGTATTACACATATTTGTTATACATATTTTTTATACATTATACATATTTGTTATAATGAATAATTGGGGGCAAGGAGAGGCAGATTAGTGGGTAGTGAAAGGAAAAAAGAACAATAATAAAGCATTTTTAAAACTAAAAAAGAAAAAAATCAGAACTCTAATCAATGTAATAACCAACCATGACTTCAGAGAACTAAAGTATGGCAGGTGTGGAACAAGGCATCCAGATGTCAGATTGTGGCTAGTATGCTGACCTGTCTTGCTCCACCACACTTCTCAGTTACAAGGGAAGGTTTTATGGAGGAGGGAACACTCACTGGAAAGTTGTTGTAATGTAAAAAGGGCACCATTTTAAAAAAACAACAGAGAGAAGGGAGGGGGGATGATAAAGGGGATAAATAATAAAGGGGAGTCAAATAGTACTAGTTATTTTTCCTTCTCAAAGAGATGAAGACAATTTTTTTCAGAAAAGTTTTTCTTAATTTTTTTAAATGTCTAAGTATCACATTCTCTAGAAGTGACTTTCACTGAAAGGCAACAGTTATCTGTCTCCACCTAGAATTCAAGGTCACTTTCTCTAGAGCTAAATTTGGATGGAAAAAAATATTTCAATCCAATTATTCATATCTTCCGTCATTTTTTTTAATTGATCATTTTCCTTTCCATTTCTGATATTATCTGGCTAAATGCTTTCTCATTTTTGGAAATTCTAAGTAAAGGAAGTAATATCTTTTAACAAGAAAATAAAGTATAGTTTTGTTTTGAAATAAATTTCTCTACTGACATCTCATTATAGCATGGAGGTGACAGACTACATTTTTTGTTGTCTAAAAATGAGCCTGGCTAATTGTGGGCGCTCCAGCTGGATCTCAGGGTAAAAAAAATTTTTAACCACAGTAATTTTCAAAGAACCAGTTCAATTTTACATTGTCTTCCACTCTTCAATTCCTTACCCATCCTGTCCTCTCATGCTCTGCCAAATCCCAACCCTGAACCCAACCCACCATCTACCTTCTCAACTCCTACTCAAGTGCTGCTGGATGGTTCTGGAGGAAGTTATGCAACCATCCTATCTAGCCTCAACTGAACCTCACTGCAACAACACAATCCTTTTATTCCTAACTAATTGATTCTTTCCAAGCTCTCTGGATGTTGCTAACATTCCCTTTTCTCAAGGCTCCCACAGCACTCCTTCCCCTCACACTACAACAAGGGGTCTCATTATACTTTCCTAAGAAATAAGAGGTCATTAGCCATGAGTCTCCTCTTCTCCTTACTCTGAAGCTTAAAACTGCTTGACATCATCCCCATTTTTTTATTCTAGTCTCTGATAAATAGGTGTCTTTTTCCAAACCAAGGCCAATTCCTCTACCTGTTTCCTTGATCCTATCTCCTCTTCCATCTCCATTGTCAGACTATCCTCAAAAATCATTCCCTACCAACTTCAAATCTCTCTTCTCAGATCTATATATCCAACTTTAGTGTCTCTCTCAGGCTCCAATACTGCATCACCAAAAATCTATTGGACATTTCAAATGCTGTCCCTAAAGTTTCTCAAATATACCATGACTCACACAGAATTTATTATATTTTTTTTAAAAACTCACCTCTCTTCCAAACTTCCTCTAAGAACACTACCATTTTGCAGTGAATCATATTTGCAAACTTGCAAACTTCTTCACTCTAGCCCACTCAATATATCCAATCAGTTGTCAAGTTTTGTTACTTCTACTTCTTGTATCCATCCCCTTTTCTCCACTTACATGGCCACCACCATGGACCAGGCCCTCATCATCTCTCTCCTGGACTATTTCAATAGTTTCTTAATTGGTCCCCTTACTCAAGTCTCTCTCCTCATCTATCCTCCACATACCTGCCAAGATAATATTCATAAAGAACAAGTCTGATTATGTCACTCCCCTGGCTCAATACACTCTAGTGGTACTTAATAAATGCTTAATGACTAAATGACCTGGACAAGGACACTTAAACCCCATATAAATTTCCATTGTTTTGGTGGTTCTTTTCATTTACATTATTGAAGTCGTTTTGTATGTCATTTACTTGGCTCTGCTTACTTCACTTTACATCAATTCATATAAATCTTTTTACTGTGCTTCTGTATTCATCATTTCATCATTCCTTATATCCCAATAATATTATATTTACGTGCCACAATTTGTTTATCCATTCCCCAGATGATGAGCATCTACTTTGATTCTAGGTCTTATCTATCACAAAAATGGCTGCCACAATATTTTGGTGTTCATGAAGCCTTTCTTTTTGTCACTGACCTCCTTGAGGTATATGCCTAACACCAGAATGTCAAGGTCAAAGAGTATGGACATTTTAGTCACTTTATTTGTATAATTCTAAATTGTTTTCCAAAGTGTTTGTACCAATTTACAGCTCTACCAACAATTCAATAATGTCTGCCCTTCTACAATCCTTCAGGTATTAACTATTATGAATTTTTGGTCATTTTTGCGAATTTGCTAGATGTGATATTAAACCTTAGGGTTGACTTGATGTGCATGTTTCTTATTATTAGTAATTAAGAGCATTCTTTTATACAGTTCTTAATGATTTACAATTCTTTTGAGAACTGTTCATGTCCTTTAACCATTTATCTATTGAGAAATTATTTGTTTTATGTTTTTAAAAGGGTTGGAGATTATAAATTTTGACAAGTTCTACCCCTTAAAATGAATTGTTAGTTATTTAACTGTATATTTAATATTAAATTAACATATACACAAGTAAAATACTATAAAACTTGGGGGTTGAATGAAAGAACCTGTGAAGTCCCTTCTAATTCTAAATCTAAGATCTTAGGAAATATGGATATGAAAATCTATATAATGGGAATTAAACTTTTTCAGTGGATGTTGTAAATGAAATGTATGTATTTTTCTTACCGTTCAATCAATAACTTCAACAATTCCTGTGGTTTACAAAATGAACGATAGGTTGTAAGAAAAGTACGCACAAAATTGGGATCTGTAAAGGTAAAATAAAGATTATTTATAAATTTTCTCCAGTCTAATTAAAAGTAGAATACAATGATGTCTCCCCTAGAGGAAGTTAGGTGGCACAATGAATAGAGGGCTGGGCCTGGAGTCAGAAAGACCTGAGTTTAAATCCAGACTCTGACACTTAATAACTGTGTGACCCTGGGCAAGTCACTTATCCTGTTTACCTCAGTTTTCTCTACTGTAAAAATGGGGATAACAATACCTACTTCACAGAGTTATTGTAAGGATCAAATGAGATAACATTTGAGTTGACACTATATAAATGTTTATTCCCTTTCCCTTCTCTCCCTTCTTCTCCCACTAGTCCACCATCAGCTTAAAAAAAAAATTGGTTTTTAACTTCTCTTAAAAACAAAGGTAGTGGAACTTCAGACAGACTTAGAAGAGGACAAAGACCATACATACTTTTTATTTTTTAATTATTTGAAGAATTGAGGTTGTTAATGTTTATTCTATAGGGACTCATACAATTTTATTCCATATTTCATATAGTTGGTTGTCTTTGTTGATAATTATTATGAAAAAAATTTAATCCTCTCACCATAATAGCCCCATTTGCATCTTCAACTCTTCCTCCATCTGGTATAGAATTTTAAAGCCAATTTGTTCACTAATGTGATAGTTAATCTTCATTTTAAAACTCATGTAGGGGCCGCGAGAAAAAGCTATAAATAACTGTGCATTAAACATAGTAAAACCTCATTATTATGAAACCCAAGAGAATGGAGAAAAAGTGGATATGAAATCCATTCCACAATAGTCAGCATATAGTTGGCATTTTTCTCTTTTCATTTAACTTGCACAAAACCTTAGAGCAGTCTATGGTGCCTGAGCTAAGCCCGGAGAGTAACAGGGATTATAAGAGGAAGAAGTGAGAAGAGAATCCATTCCAAACATAAGGGATAACCTGAACAAAGGTATGGAGACGAGAGATGAAATGGAATGTAGAAGAATAGTAATAAGATGGTTTTAGCTAGACCTTTTGGTGCAGGAAGGAAAGTGATATGTAATAAAGCAACAATTGTTTATTATTCACTATGTTACGAGGTACTATGCTGAGTGCTAGGGATACAAATACAATGAATGAAATTATTAGTATGATTAGGAAGGTGGAGTGGAGCTAGGTTGTCAAAAAAGATAGTTGAGGGAATGTACATGGGCTGATATCTAAGCCATGTCAAGAGCTTTAGAGGAAGTCCCCCTAACTCCCTAGCATACTAATGAACCCCTTGTGAAGGATTTATTGGAAGACATGGCCAAGATTGGCACAAAATGGGCAGGCATAGATCAGCTACAATATGCACCAACATCAAAGGATCCATCATAACAGTCAAGTATTTGAAAGAAATGTAAAAACACTGAATAACTTTATTTGTAAGGAGATAATTTGAGGGGTTTTGGTATATACCATTTTTTCCTTTTATTTTAAGAGGGGAGGGAAATCTGTATTTACTGGTGGCCTACATTTGAACTGATATTTTGGGATCCTAATGAGGGCAAATACAAGACAAGCAGTCAAAAGTTGGGGCTGTCTCACTTAATCTGAAATATATGATTAAGTGTTATTTTTAAAATGTTAAGAATTATTAAAACTTATACCATAACTGTGTTACTGTAGGGGGGAATTCTATTCAAGGATAGGTTCTATCCCTATATGGGGTCATGACCCACAGTTTAAGAAGCAATGAAGGGGTTGCAAGTGGAAAAAGTTTAAGAAGCCTCTATTATATGATCTATGAAGTCCCTTTCAACTTCACATTCTATAACTCATTGCCTAAGGCTTTTATAAAACTACCAAAGCCAGAATATTTAATGTTTTATGCTTATATTAAAAAATGAATCAAAATTCTCAGTGAAATCATCTTAATATGCCTTGATACTGTGTATGTTCCTGTCATTCATGCTATCACCTTTAAAATAACTTTCTAAGTAAGTAAATGTTAATATAAATTTAGTTTTGCATTTAAAGTGCAAATATTTGGTGAAATGTTTAGTACTTGAGACTAGTGTCTTGCTAATATTTATCTAGCATAAATATACTAACAAAAGTCACATTAAAGTTTTATAGTTATAAGTTCTGAAAAGAAGAGGCAACATGATGAAGAAGAGAAAGCACTGGACTTGAGAGTCAGGAAGAGCAGTTATGATAGGATCAATATCTACTAGGCTTCCACCTCTTCCCCATCATGTGAGTTAAACTAGTTCTTGTCTAAAACGCAAGGCAGGGAGGAGGGGAGGAATTGAGGGGGAGTGAGTGAACCTTACTCTCATCAGAATTGGCTCAAACAAAATAAATCGGGCATAGAAATCTATCTAACCCTACAGGAAAATAGATGGGGAAAGGGATAAGAGAAGAGGGGAATGATAGAAGGGAGGGCAAATTACAAAACAGAAGCAAAACATTTTTAAGGAGGGACAAGGTAAAAGGAGAGAGAGAATAGAATAAACTGAGGATGGGGTGGCATGGGATGGAGGGAAATAGTTAGCAATAGAAACTGAAAAATTTTGAAGCAAGTTTCTGTGATAAAGGTCTCATTTCTCAAACATATAGAGAACTGGGTCAAATTTATAAAAATAAGAGCTGTTTCCCCAATTGAGAAATAATCAAAAGATATAACCAGTTTTCAGGTGAAATAATCAAAGCTATCTATAACCATATGGAAAAAAATACTCGCAGAAATTCAAATTAAAACAATTCTGAGATACTGTTTCATACCTATTAGATTGGCTAATAGGATAGAAAAGGTAAATGACAAATGTTAGAGGGGATGCTGGTGGAGTTGTGCACTGATTCAACCATTCTATAGAGCAATCTGGAACTGTGCTCAAAGGGTTATAAAACTATGCATACCATTTGACCTAGCAATACCACTACTCAAATCCCAAAAGAGATTAAAAAAAACAAAAACAAAAACAAAAAAGGACTTATGTATAAAAGTATTTATAGCAGTTCATTTCTGGGGCAAAGAATTAGAAATTGAGGGGATGCCCATCATTTGGGGAACGGCTGAATAAGTATGTGATTATGATGGAATACTATTGTACTATAAGAAATGATAAGCAGGATGCTCTCAGAAAAACCTGAAAAGACTTGCATGGGCTGATGCAAAGTGAAATGTACTGTGTACAAAGTAACAGCATTATTGTAAGATGATCAGCTGTGAATGACTTAGCTATTCTCAGCAATACAATGATCCAAGACAACTTTGAAGGACTTGTGATGAAAAATACTATCTATGCCTAGAGAAAGAACTGACGGTGTTAGAATACAGATCTTAACATACTTTTTTTAACTTTATTTTTCTTGAGGTTTTTTTTGTCTATGTTTTGTTTCATAACATAACTATTATGATTATGTATTACATGACTAAACATGTATAACCTATATCAAACTGCTTGTCTTCTCAATGAGGGGTGTGGGGAGAGAGGAAGTGAGATAATTTGGAATTCAAAGTTTTAAAAATTGTTTTTATATGTAACTGGTTAAAATTTTAAATAAATAAATGAATAAATGGGAAAAAAATAAAATAAAATGCAAGAAGTTGTCCCCAAGACTTGATTGGGCCAGGGAGCTTAGGTTTAAGCTGCCTAGCTGTTTGACACAGCTTCCTAGTGGCCATATTGATAAGGCTTCCTGGTCACGGAGGGACACATACGGGCCTGTAGGCAAGGAGGTGGGACCTCTTCAGACTTAGTAGATATCCCAAGGCCATCAGAGTAACCACACCCTACCCCTCTGGGAAGTGAGCAAAATGCCATATCCTTGTGGAATATCCATTTCATGCTATGGTTTAAATAACCATCTTTTTGTTGATGACCAGTTGGAATCAATCCCAGCCTCCAAAACCTAAATTTCAGTCCTGGCTCAGAGATCTGCTAGATGTGTGATCCTGGGTCTCCCTAAATTTCCTCATTTGCAAAATAAGGGGGCTAAACTCTATTTCTAAAGTTCCTTCTAGTTCTAAATTTATTACCTAAATAATACTATAACAATAATAATAACAACAATAATAATGGCTTGCATTTATACAGTGTAAATACAAAACACTGTACACATCATCTTATTTGATCCCCACAACGATCCTGTAAGGTAGGTGGTGCCATTATCCCCATTTTGCAGATAAGGAAATTGAGGCTGAGAGAGGTTATGTGACTTGCCCTGGGTCACACAACTAATAAGTATCTGAGATGGGATTTAAATTCAGGTCTTCCTGGCTCCAAGTCCATCACTCTTCCCTATTGCTTCACTTCACTGAGGATCTTTCTCTACGAGTGCCCATACTGGTAAGATCCTGCATCGATTGAAGTAACTGTGCATATCACATCACAGACATATGCTGGTAGATTCTTCAGTTTCTCTGATAATATTTAGGTCCAGAACTTTACACGTGCTAAATTTAGAGGTGACACAACATGGCTTAATGGATGGTCTCTAGCCCAAGCTTCCTATAAAGTACTGAAAGTTTTAAGGTTAAAGTTTTTCCTTATATAAAAACTTGCTTTTTTGTAATTTTCATCCATTGTTCCCAAGACAGCTATCATGTCATACCTAAGTCTTCTCTAGGCTAAACATTTCCAGTTCCTTCAACAAGCTATATGTCTAGTCCTGATTGCTCTCCTGAGATCCATTCCCTAGTCATCAACTATGAATTGATTATTAATTTATGAAATGGAACAGGCATACCTGCTTCTTTGGGTACTTGTCAGGAAAGATCATGATGGTAGCAGGAAACAGGGATGTAATCACACTCTAATAAGGCACAGAGGGAGGGTATAGGGGCAAATGGCACAGTAAGTAGGTAGAGATGTAGCAAAAAGGAGAACAGAGGCAGATGGCATGGGGAGAAAGGAGAGGGTGGTGAAGGAAAGCTAGCAGTGGGGAGCAGGATGGGGAAGGAGAGAGGCATAGAGTATCACTCATGTAACCATGTGAATTAGGAGTACTCAGAAGCATGGACTCAATGGAGGTGGAAGAATGCTTGGGAGCCAAGGGTATGGGGGGGAGGGGGTGGAGGAATAGGTCTCATTTTTATAATGTTTTAGATGGCAACATATTAACTTTTATCTATGCCATCTTGGGATTAGTTCATTAACATATCTCAAAAGTTGTTGGCAAAATTTTGAAGTTAACATATCCACATCATCTTAAAGTTATCAGTAACATCTGGTGTTCTACTGGTCTTAACTGTGGATGTCCAGAACTTGTCTGAGATTTACACATCATAGGACCAAAAGGCCCTGACAGCAAAGTTTAGATGGCTTCCCCTGGATGTGATTTTTGGTTAATATATGATATAATTGATAAATTATGCTCTTCTGATCTTTGGGACAGTTTGTAGGTAATGTCTACGTGCCCCTTTGTAATCTTACTTCCTTGTTATTGCTATTTTCTACTGGTTTCTTATAAACTTACTTAATATACTGACTAGAAAGAGGGAGAGGGTAGTCAGGGAGGCCTGATCAAGATACAATTTTAACACAAACTGCCTATGGGACATTTCAAAATGGATGTCCCACAGGCACCTGAAATTCAGTATGTCCAAAAGAAAACACATTATCCTTTACCCCAAGTCTTCCCTTCTTTTGGATTTCCCTATTTCTGTGGAGTACTACTACCAAGGTTCAAACACTTTGGAGTAGTCCTCACTCACCCCTACTCTACACATCAAGTCAGCTGCCAAGTCTTATAGATTTTATCCTCCATAGTATTTCTGATCAGTATCCTTCTTCTCTCTAATCAACCAATAAACAGGTATTTATTAAGCACCTACTATGGACCAGGAACTGTACTAGGCAATGGGGAGAAAAAGAAAATGAATGAAACAATCACTACTTACAAGGAACTTATATTGTAATGGGAGAAACAATAAAGACATATTTAAGAATGAATAGAATAATTTGTATAAAGAGAGTACAAAGTAGTTAAATACAACATAATCTGAGAGAGGGGGTGCTAGCCCATGAAGGGGTTAGGAAATGCTTCATTTAGAAGGTAGTACCTGAACTAGATACTGAAATAAGAGAGATTGTATGAAGCAGAAATAAGAGGTAGTACATTTACAGAAATGGATAACAGTGGTACTAGAGGCATGATGATGACAGACAGGGTCATGTGTGAGGAAGAGAGAAAAGGTCAATTTAGCTGTACTCCAGAATATGGGGGGAACAATGTACAATGAGGCTGGAAAGATAAGTTGAGGCTTTAAAAACTACACAGGAGTTTATATTGATTTTGGAGGTAATAGAAAATTTGGGTTTTATCAAATAGGGAAATAACACATTCAAATCTATGCCTAAACATAATTACTTTGGCAACTGTGAAGGATGTAAATGAGGAAAAACTTGAGGCAGGGAGATCAATTAGGAGGTTGAAAAAATACAGATGAGGGATGATGAGGCCTGAACTAAGGTGGAAGTTATAGAAGTTGAGAGAAGTTGGATGTGAGAGATGTTGTGCGGTGAGGGAAAATGAGAGGTCCAGGATGACAGCAATGCTATAAACCTGGGGGACACAAAGGCTGGCAGTTCCTCTCACAGAAATTAGAAAGTTTCGGAAGAGGGGCAGAAAAATTGAATTTGAATGCCTGTCCAATGGGAAGTTGGCTATTTGGGAATGAAACTCAGAAGCAAGATGGGCTAGATATACAGATCTTGACAGAGAAGATAATGAAGCTAATAAGGTCACCAAAAAAGAGAAAGAGGGAAGAATAAGGGGACTAGGATAGAACCTTTGGGAACACCCACAGTGAGGGCAGCAAAGAACGATCAGACAGGTAGAAAGAAAACTAGGAGAGAATAGTATCATGAAAACCCAGAAAGGAGACAGTATCCAGGAAGAGAGTGGTCAAGAGTGGTAAATGCAGCAGATAGGTTGAGAAGAATGAGGTCTGAGAAAGGACTCTCAAGTATGGAAATTAGGAAATCATTGGTAACTCTGGAGAGAGTAGTTTCAGTAGCGATGAGATCAGAAGCCACACTACAAAGGGTTGAGGAGTGAGAAGAGAGGAAGTAGAGGCAGTGAATAAAGATAGCTTTTTCTAGGAGTTGGGCCAAGAAAGGGAAAAGATATATAGGTTATACTCATATGGCTCCCATGGTAGCTCAGGCCTTTATTACCTCTTTCCTACACTACTGTAACAGCTTCCTTTCTCAAGTCTTTTGCCTTTTCAATTTATCTTCCAAATCCAAAGTGATATTCCTAAAGCATGTTTGACCATGTCCCTGTCTTGTTCAATAAACTCCAGTTGCTAAATACAGGATAAAATGCAAAAAACTCTATTTGGCATTTAAAGTTCTTTACAACTTGAATCCAACCTGTCTTCGCTGTTGTTGCTTAATCACTATCCAGCTGTAGCCAACTCTCTGTGGCCCTATTTGGGGTTTTCTGGGCAAAGATACTGGAGTGGTTTACCATTTCCTTCTCCAACTCATTTACAGATGAGGAAACTGAGAGGATTAAATGACTTGCCCAGGGTTCCACAGCTAATAAGTAACTAAGGCCAGATTTATACTCAGAAAGATTAGTCTTCCTGACTTCAGGCCCAGCACTCCATCCACTGCACCATTTAAATGCCCTGTAGCAAACCTACCTTTACTCCTCTTCATACTTCACAGACTCATGCACTCCCCTCCTCAACTTCACCTCTTAGAAGCCCTAGCTCTTTCAAAATTCAGTTCAAGCACCACAAGATGCCTTTCACAATCCTTTGGTTGCCAGTGTCTCCCTATCCGAAATTACCTTGCATTTATTTTTCACATATATTGTATATTCTGATATATGATATATGTTTCCCCTAATAGAATGTAAGGTGATTGAGATCAGAAACCATATTATTTTGGTTTTGTATATTCAGTGCATTGCACAGTGCTCAATTGTTCAGTCCTGTCTTACTCTGTGACCCATATGGGGTTTCCTTGGCAAAGATACCGTAATGGTTTGCCATTTCTTTTTCCATCTCATTTTACAGATGAGGAAACTGAGGCAAACAGGGTTAAGTGACTTTCCCTCAATCACAGAGCTAGTGTCTGAGGCCAGATTTGAATTCATAGAAGATGAATCCTCATGATTCCAGGCCCAGTACTGTAATTACAACTGTCCTTCCCTTTCCTTTTATAAATATAGACACACACCTGCATACATGTGGTATGTTAGCCTTTCAATCAATTTCACCACAGTTCCTCCTTTAATGACAGGGATTCCACTTTGCAAATTGTCTTCAAAAACAATGTTTTCTTCCGAGTCTTTCACAACAAAGCGATATACTTCTGGACTTGGCAACCTCAGTGGTTGCTCATTTTCTTCCTTTAATAATACTGAATCTAGCATTCGATCTAGTGTACTACGATACTGAAGAGAAATCAAGGCTGCCATCCAACTGTTTTTCTCTTCAATGGACTTGGCAGCAAATATAATGCTGTTTTCATCTTTGGAAATCAACTCAAAGGCATGCTTGTATTCAGAAGTGTCATCTTTATCACAAATTTGTATTTTCCTCATGATAAATTTTTCTTTCAACCTGTATTCTGCATTGCTATAACCTGGAATCCGGGACTGTCCATGATTAGTTTTACAACTAATCATTAAGCCATCAAAAAGAAAAATATGGCGTTCATGTTTAGCTCCTATTCTTATCAATGGGCCTTCCATTATAAATTCATTACAACATTGGCCAATATCTTTGCCTTCCCATCCATCAATATTTTTTTGAATTTCATTCATTTTCTTTATGGCCAGATGCTTGCTCCGTAATTGACGATTATAAAATCGACAAACAGGATCCCTATAAAACACAGCCAAAAAAAGTTTTTCCAGTTATTATTAAATCATAATTAAAACAAATAAAAAACTAATACCATAAGAGCTCATATCAAGTTACAAAAGTTACACATTATCAATTCACATTAATTCAATTTACCAAATAAAATGAAATACAATATTACCTTTCAGTTATTTCATTAACTCATAGGTAACTCTAACAAGTCATTTCCACTATGCCTTATTTGTGAGATGAGAAAAATCACCTATTATGCATCACATACCTAATGCCATAATTGAAGAGGTAAAGAACAGTGAGCTTCTTACACATCAGCTACAGAAAATTGTAACATATACCCTACAGAATAATGATGTAGCTTTTCTAGTACAATTTAAAGGCAAATATTTAAATCATTTTCAGTATCTGGAAAAGACATGCAAAGTCAGTTTAAAAACATAAGCCATACCAATGCATTTAATTCTCAACAATGACAGTCTGATTTTTTAAATTGCTGTATATATGTACCACCACCTGAGGAAATGATACATGTTCAGTATCAGAATTGAAACAAAAAAAAAACTATCATTACTAATCATACTTGGTCAGAAATCTAGAAATTAAATCCAAGTATAGTTTGTGGATCCCTCATGCTTTTTATAATCTGAACTCACACAGGTCGCCGTCTAGGTGAATGCTTGTTGCAAATCCGTTCCATGCTACAACGGAAATTCAGAAGAGCAGTAATAGCTTGTTTCAAACATTCTCTGTCTTCTTGCTCTTCACTGCATTCTTGCAATTGCTAAGAAAAATGGGAGAACCCAAAATAAAACGTGTATTTTGGTTTTCTATCCTCAACTTTAAGAATAGCAAAACCATAAAAAAGCAAAGACAAAAGAAAAAACTATCAACAAACTAAAGGGATTTTTTTTTAAACCACAAGAGAACAGAATATACACAACATACAGAATTTAAGAGTTGGAAAAGACCTCAGCAGCCATCCAGCCCAAGCCATACACAAAAGGAAACTCCAAAATAACAAACCTGACAAGTAGTCATCCAGCCTTAACTTTAAAGACTTCCAAGGAGGGGAACCCATCCATTCTCAAAGGTAAACCATTCCACTCTTGGATAGCTCTAATCATTAGGAAGTTTTTCTTGACATCAAGCCTAAATTTGCCTTTTTGCAACTTCCACCCTCTGCTCCTTATTCTGCCCTCTGGGACCAAATGGAACAAGTCTAGTCTCTCCTCTACATGACAGTCCTTCAAATACTTGAACACAGCTGTGCTATCCCCCTGAGCTTCCTCTTCTCCAGACTAAACATACCCAGTTCCTTTAATTGACTCTTATATGACACAGACTCAAGATCTTTCATCACCCTGGTTGCCCTCATCTGAACACTCTATGCAACTTATCAACTGTATGCAATCACAATATTCCCAATGAGGTCTGACAAGGGCAGAGTACAGTGGGATTATCACCTTCTTATTCCTGGAATACGTTCATCTCTTAACATAGCCCCACAATTCATTATCTTTTTTTGGCTGTCACATCAACATTGCTGACTTATATTAAGCTTGCATTCCACTAAAATCCCAAGGATCTTTTTCAGAATAACTGCTTTCTATCCATGACTCTCCCTGCTCATATTATATTGTATTAGCTGTCCCTCCCAGCATTGCATTGTCTCCAGATCAGATGAGCATATGATTTATGCCTTTATCCAAATCACTGATAAAAATGTTAAACAACATAAGGCTAAGCACAGAGACCAAAGGCCTAAGACCTTCCACTGGAGACTTATCACAAAACATTAAACAGCTACAATTTGAGTCTGTTCATTCAATCAATTCTGAAGTGATTTAATTTTATTATCATTTAATCCATGGTTGGCATATTATGGCCTGAGGGCCAAATCTAGTCTTTTGCCTGTTTTTTTTGTATGACCAGAGAGCTGAGAATGGTTTTTACATTTTTAAGTACAATAAAACCTTATTTAGAAATATAATACCATTCTTCGCTTACTAGTTGTACAAACAATAGGCAGCACAGCATTTGGCTAGAGGGCTGGAATTGCCAGACCCTGATTTAGTACATAAGACTATGTTTCTCCACAAGAATAGAAGGAGATACTTTATCAAAAGCATTGCCAAAATCCAGGTAAACCATAACCACAGCATTCTCCCCATATTTTAGTTTAGCAATCATGTCAAAAAAGAAAATGAAGTTAGTCTGGCATGACCTGTTCTTAATAAAGCCAGGTAGGCTCTTTGTAATTATTATTTCCCTTTCTAGATGTTGGCTAATCATCTCTTTAATAATCACTTTTAGAATTTTCCCAAGAACCAAACTCACTAAGTTGTAGTTTATAGACTTTTTTTCTTTTGGAAAATTGGAACATAGCTCTTCTCCAATCTAATGATAACCCTCCAGTTTTCCATGAACTTTCAAATATCACTGACAATGGCTCAACAATCATATATCCACCTGTTCTTTCAGAACCTGAGGATGTGGCACCAGTGTTTTGGTAGCTAAGTGCTACTCTTCACTATCTCGTTACTTATTTTGGGTTTGAGTTCCAGTTAGTCATTTTTATGGTCATTTCTACTATGAAAGTCAGTCTCCTTTCCAGAGAAAACAGAAAAAATTACGTACACAAACATACTTATTACAAGACAACTTTTCTAGAGTCCCTCTTTCTTGAGCCCAACCACTATAAATATATTTCATATTCAAAATCGTGAGAAAAGACTAAACGTGGGAGAGATTTAATATTACTTTCCACAAGCACAAAGCTGTGTTGTTGTTTTTAAAGTAAGGTGCCAGAAAATACAAAACAATATTAATTCATTTCTACTAGTTATTGTCAATACAAGAGACAAAGTATACCAACAAGAAATGTATTTAGTCCTATGGTTCATAACAAACTGGAATGGCTCTTTCTGCATGTCAGTTCTAATATCTTTGATAAACAATACCACAAAGTCCAGATTAAGTACCATTATAATAAGCACTATTGTGGCAGCAAATAACTGGAAACAAAGGAGATTTAGGAATGACTAGACAAATCATGGTACATGAATGTAATACAATATTACTGGCTATAAGAAATGATGAATGTAATAAATACAAAGAAGCAAAGTGAAGTAAGCAGAGTAAGGAAACAATATATACAACCACTATAATGTCAGTGTAATGAACAACACAAATAAAATAATCAAAACTGAATGCTATAAAATTATAAAGCTCAAACTTGATCCCAAAGACAAGCTATAAAAAGATATCTCCCCCTATTCCATTGAAAAGTTGGGGGGCGGGTCATAGATACGCAACATTACATATAATGTCATATGTTGGTTTTGCCAATTTAAAAAAAAAACTGTTATGGAAGATAGCTCTCTGGGAATAGGTTAGGATGCAGGGGGGGGCAGAATCTACATAATGTAAAAAGAAAAGACATCAGTAAAAATCCATTAAAAATAAAGACAGACTGCTAAGCACACTCTCTCACCCTGATATCCAATCTATTGCTAAGTCTTGTTGATTCTATCTTTGCCACATCTCTTATACATGTCCCCTTTCTCTTCTCTGACATTGCGCCACATAGGTACAAGCCCTCACACAGGACTATAGCAGGAATCTTCTGGGTGGTCTGCCAGCCCCAAATATCTTCTCAGTTCAGACCATCCTCCTCTGAGCTGCTAAAGTTAGCTTCCTAAAGAGGGTATATGACCATGTAAGCCCTCCTACTGAATTATATTCCAGTGGCTCCCTAATACTTCCATAATTAAACTTAAGATTCACTGTTTGGTTTCTAAAGCCCTTCATAACTTCCTCCCTTTTTACCTTTCCAGTTTTCTTATACTTTACTTCCCTCCATGTACTCTACAATTCAGAAGCACTTGCCTCTCTACTGTTCCTCATACACAAAGCTCCATATACCAACTCAGTACATTTTCATTAAGTTGTTCTCATATCAAGAATGCTCCCTCCTCATTTCCTTGGCCTCCTTCCAGTCTTAGCTCACCTCTGCAAAAGGTCCTTCCCAGTTCTCCTTAATGCTATTTCTTTCCTTCTGAGATTATCTCCAATTTACCCTGTATATATCTTGTATAAACTCTGTTGTTTGCAAACAAAAACAAATTTCCTTTCCTCCCACCAGAATGTGAGCTCCTTGGTGCCAAGGAACATTTTTACCTTTCTTGTCCCTAGTACTTAGCACTGAACACATAGCAAGCATTTAATAAATGCTTGCTTAGCCTAGTTCAGCAGCAAGACACCCTGAGGAAGAGATATGAGGCAATATGTGCCACGCAAATCAAACCAAACCACCACTTTGACTACCATGACACCTCAGATGCAATTGGAGACAGTCTACTGCACTGCCTTGCTGCCCCAGTTTTGGCCATAGCAACTCTAAAAGAGGGTTTACTACAGTATAGAGGAACTATTATTTGTACTAACAGAGGAAGTAGTCATATCAGTGAAGTTATAGATCACTACATCTTTAAACATGAGTTGGAAGAGAAACTTAGTATGAAAAACATTCAGATAGTCAGATGACACTTCAGGTTCAATATTACTAAGTCTAAGATGAGAATAAACTTTTACGTTGGAGCAGAGGGACATGCCTGCTTCCAGGAAGGCTGAGGTTAATAAGATTGCTTGAGCTCAGAAGTTCTGAGCTGCAGTGGGGCTTCAGGTGTGTGTCTCCACTAAAATCTGGCACCACAAGTAGGTCCCCAGGAGTGAGGGGGGGCCACTAGTCAACTTAAGGAGGGGTGAACCTGCCCTCATTTGAAATGTAGCAGGTCAAAGTTCCCATGTAGATCAGTTGTGGTGGCATTGAGCCCATGAGTGGTGGGTTTACCTCTAGGCTGAGCAAAACAGGGAAACACAGTCTCAAAAAAAACCTTTTCAAAATAAACTTTTCTATACTTACCTTTAAAGAAATAACATAAATCAAAATAAAGCAGTACATAATTTTTTCTGAGCTCCTGGAAGTCATTTACATAAGACATTTTTTATTTGTTTTGTTCAAACAATAATCACGATAATGTTCACAGTAATGATATAATTTAGAACTAAGATCAATTTTCAAACTTAAATAAATAAGGAAAGGTTTATTTATATAAGCTTTTATTCTTACCTCTAATAATTCAAAATAGTGTGAACAATGGTAAACTGGCACTAGCATAAGGCGTGGAAGAACATACCGTACAGCCTCCTTAAAGCCATCAGCAATGGACTGGAAAGCAAAAAGAATTTATCTGAATTTCCACGTGTGAAATGTACAGAATATGGCAAAACCATAAAAGAAAATAAACTTATCAAAAAGAAATAAAAATTAAAACTGAAGATCTAAAAGGTAAAATGGACTTTTGTTTTCCTGAGGACAAAATAATTTTCTGTAGCTACAAACATAATATTTTATTCTTTTTAAAATAATGATTTCCTAAATTGACATTTTTTCTCACTATAAAGAAGAGGGGAATGGACAATCTTGAGGGCTATAAAAATACATTTTCTCATAAAAAGAGAGTGGAGTGTTAAACATTTATTACAATGTTTTACACTGTATTGTTATCTAAAGTCAAACTATAAGACTTAATTTTTTTCTACATTCAAGTCATGTTGGGACCAAATCATATTGAGACCAAAATAAAACTCTAATAAGTTTCAAAAGTGGAGAATTTTTTATCTAATACTTCCTGTGGGAACAGTCAGAATGTAGAACACAGGTACTTAGACTCGGAGTTAGAAGACCTGGGTTAAAGTCATAGCTTTGTCACTTAATAATCATATGACTAAGTCAGATAACACACTAACCTCAGGCTCTTCCTCTATAAAAAGTAGATAATAAAACATGCATTCCTATCTCACAGATATAAAGTAAAGTATATTATAAAACTTTAAAGCATTATATAAATGAGCCATTATTAACACAAGCAGGTACTATAATAGCAACTTTACTTATATGCACATTTTAATTTTCATGTGTACAAAGTATACTCAAATTTTAATGGGAACTCATAAGGAAACTTCTAAATTAGATAGATTTTTTTTTGTTTTTAAAATATAAATTGTGACTTCCAACAAAAATAACAAGCAAGCAAGATGAAACAAAAAACCCTAAGATTAAAAATAGAGAACTGAGAGAAGTATGGGAAGACTTATATGAACTGATAAAAAGTGAAGTAGAACCAAGAAAAATATGAATTGGTCTCAGGCCATGGAAGAGCTCAAAAGGGATTTTGAAAATCAAGTATGAGAGATGGAGGAAAAGTTGGGAAAAGAAATGAGAGTGATGAAAGAAAATCATGCAAAACAAGTCAACAGTTTGGTAAAGGAAACCCAAAAAAAAAATACTGAAGAAAATAACACCTTAAAAAATAGACTAGGAAAAATGGTAAAAGAGGTCCAAAAAGCCAGTGAGCAGAAGAATGCCTTAAAAAGAAGAATTGGCCAAATGGAAAAGAAGGTCCAAAGGCTCACTGAAGAAAATAATTCCTTAAAAATTAAAATGGAGCAAATGAAAACTAATGACTTTATGAAATCAAGAAACAATTAAAACAAAAACAAAAGAATGAAAAAATGGAAGACAATGTGAAATATCTCATTGGAAAAACAACAGACATGGAAAATAGATTCAGGAGAGAGAATTTACAAATTATTGGACTACCTGAAAGCCATGATGAAAAAAAAGAGCCTAGACATCATCTTTCAAGAAATTATCAAGGAAAATTGTCCTGATATTCTAGAACCAGAGGGTAAAATAGAAATGGAAAGAATCCACCAATCACCTTCTGAAAGAGATCCCAAAATGAAAACTTCCAGAAATATTATAGACAAATTCCAGAGCTCCCAGGTCAAGAAGAAAGTATTCCAAGTAGTCAGAAAGAAACAACTCAAGTATGATGGAGCCACAGTCAGAATAACAGAAGATTTAGCAGTTTCTATATTAAAGGATCAGAGGACTTGGAATATGATATTCTGGAAGTCAAAAGAGCTAGGATTACAACCAAGAAAGGACTTTCAAACATTCTTGATGAAAAGACCAGAGTGAATAGAAAATTTGACTTTCAAATACAAGACTCGAGAGAACATAAAAAGGTAAACAGAAAAGGGAAATCATAAGGGACTTAATAAGGTCAAACTGTTTATATTCCTCCATGGGAAGATAATATTTCTAAATCATAAGACCTTACTCATTATTGGGGTAGTTAGAAGGAGTATATATAGCCAGGGGGCACAGGTGTGAGTTGAATATGAAGGGATGACAACTAAAAAACATAAAATTAAGGGGTGAGAGAGGAATACACTGGGAGAAAGAGAAAGGGAGAGGTAGAATAGGGTGAATTATCTCACATAAAAGAGGCAAGAAAAAGCTTTTACAATGGAGGGGAAGAGGCGGGGAAGCAAGGGGGAGCTAAGTCTATCACAGTTGATCATCATACAATGTTGCTGATACTATGTACAGTGTTTTCCTGGTTCTCAGTTCGTACATGTCTCTCCAGGTTTTTCTGAAAGCTGCCTATTCATCATTTCTTATTGCACAACAGTATTCCATTACATTCATATGCTACAGCCATATACTCAGCCATTCCCCAGTTGATAGGCATCCCCTCAATTCCAATATTTTGCCACCACAAAAAGGGCTGATATAAATATTTTTGTACATGAAGGTTCCTTCCCTTTTCTATGATCTCTTTGAGATATAAGATATATAATATTTCTTTGAGACAGTAGTGCTATTGCTGGATCAAAGGACATGCAGTTTGGTGGCCCTTTGGGCATAGTTCCAAATTGTTCTCCAGAATGGCTGGATCAGTTCACAATTACACAAATAGTGCATTACTGTCACAATTTTCCCACATCCTCTCCAACATTTATCATTTTCCTTTTTTGTCATATTAGCCAATCTGATAGGTGTGAAGTGGTACCTCAGAGTTGTTTTAATTTGCATTTCTCTAATCAAAAGTGGTTTAGAGCATTTCTTCAAATGCCTATAGATAGCTTTGATTTCTTTAACTGAAAACTGCCTTTCATATCCTTTGACCATTTATAAATTGAGGAATGGCTTATATTCTTATAAATTCAGTTCTCTATATATTTGAGAAATGAGGCCTTTATTAGAGACACTTGCTGTAAAGATTGTTTCCCGGGTTTCTGCTTTCTTTCTAATCTTGCTTGCGTTGGTTTTGTTTGTGCAAAAGCTTTTTAATTTAACATAATCAAAATTACCTGTTTTACATTTCATAATGCTTTCTATCTCATTTAGTCATGCACCCATAACTCACTTAACGTTTCCTTTAAGAATTTGGATGATTTAGTATTGATTCATTGTCTATGGTACCTTTTAGCAAAATTTAGTTTCCTTCCTTATCTCTTTTAATTAGGTCTACTTTTGCTTTTGTTTGTCTGAGATCAGGACCGTTACCCCTGTTTTGTTTTGTTTTTCACTTCAGCTGAAGAAGAATAGACTCTGCTCCAGTCATTTACCTTTACTCTGTGTGTGTCTGTTGTAAACAACATATTGTAGGATTCTAGTTTTTGATCCGCTCCACTATCTAAATACATTTTATGGGAGAGTTCATCCCATTCACATTCACAGTTATGATTACCAACTGCATATTTCCCTCCATCCTATTTTTCCTCCTGTTTTTCCTCTCTCTCCATTCACCCATTCCCTTCTTACCAGTGTTTTGCTTCTGTCTACCACTTCCTCCAGCCTGCCCTCTTTTCTGTCAGTCTCCCCCCTTTACTTAAACTTTTCCCCTCCTGCTTTCTTGTCAGGTAAGATAGATTCCTATATTCAACTGAGCGTGTATATTACACCCCCTTTCAGCCAATTCTAATGAGAGTAAGGTTCAAGCAATGCCTATCACCCACCTTTCCATCCTCCCTTCTACTGTAATAGGTTTTTCGCACCTCTTCATGTGAAATAATTTACCCTATTTACCTGATTCTACCTCTCCCTTCCTTCTGCACACAGTATACTCCTTTTTCTCAACCCTTATTTATTTTTTATGTCATTCCCTCAAATTCACCTTATACTCATACCTTCTGTCTATATGTATTCCTTCTAGCTGTACTATTAGTGGTACAATCTTTAAGAATTACAAGTATCATCTTCCCAAGTAGAGATCTAAATGGTTCATCTCTATTGAATCCCTTATGTTTTCTTTTCCCTTTTTACTTTTTTAGGCTTCTATTGGGTCTTGATATTGGAGATCAAATTTTTTGTTCAATTTTGTTCAATTTTTTCTCCTTATGAAAGTTTGAAATACTTCTGTTTCACTGAATGGCCATTTTTTCCCCTTGAAGTATTATGTTTAATTTTGCTGAGTAGGTGATTCTTGGTTGTGGTCCTACCTCCTTTACCTTCCAGAAGATCTTGTTCCATGACCTCTGATCCTTTAATGTTACAGCAGCTAAGTGCTATGTAATCTTTCCTTAGTCTCTTTTGAATCACATCTCACTATTCACATTACTGTACTGTTCTTCCAATACCACCATCCAAAAAAGATCCTCCTCTTTTAAAGTTAACTTTATTTGTTTATATTACCATTGTCTATGATCCTCTAGAATAGCAGTCATTGATTAGAGAAATGCAAATTAAAATAACTCTGAGTTACTATGCCACACCTTTCAGATTGGTTAATATGACAGAAAAGGAAAATAGTAAAAAAAAAAAATAGTAAATGTTGGAAAATTTGGATACTAATGCAGTGTTGGTAGAGTTATGAACTGATCCAATGATTCTGGAAAGCAATTTGGAACCATACCCAAAGGGCAATTAAACTGTGATACCCTTTGGTCCAGCTATACCACTACTAGGTCTGTACCCCAAAAAGATAAAAAGAAAAAAAGGAAAGGACCAATTTGTACAAAGATATTCATAGCAGCTCTTTTTGTAGTAGCAAACAATTGGAAATTGAGGGGATGCTTATCAATTAGGGAATGCTGAACAAGTTGTGGTATATGATTGTAATGGAATATTAGTGTGCTAAAAGAAATGATTAGCAGGCTGCTTTTAGAAAAACCTGGAAAGATGTATATGAACTGAGGCAGAGTGAAGCAAGCAGAACCAAGAGAACATTGTACACGGTAATAGTAATACTGTATAATGATCAACTGTGAATGACTTAGCTATTTTCAGTAATACAATGATCCAACAATTCTAAAGGACTCACGATAAAAAATGTTATTCACTTAGAGAGAAAGTACTGAGGGAGCCTAAATGCAGATCAAAGCATACTATTTTTTCACTTGTGGTTTTTTTTTCCTTTGGGTCTGTGCCTTCTTTCACAACATGACTAATATGGTAATATGTTTTGCATGATTGAACATGTATAACCTATATCAAATAGCTTACCATTACAGGGAGCTAAAGGAGGGAGAGAGAAAATTTGTAACTCAAAATTTTTCAAAATGAATGTTAAAAATTGTCTTTACGTGTAATTGGGGAAAAATGAAATCCCTCCCCCCCCCAAAAAATAGAATGGTAGTATCAAACTCAATTAGAAACACAGGACACTAAGCAATACATATAGCACTGTGGGCCACATATTGACTTAGTTTTAAAATATTTCTATGTTTTATTGCATTTTTATTCTGTTAGATATTTTCAAGTTGCATTTTAATTATGTTCAGGCCATACTCAGGAGTGTTTTGTTTTTTTTGCTTGACATCTCTGTTCTAGAATACACTTTCTCATTTCTCGATGATTTCAGCATCTAGCTTACTCCCTGAAAGAGCTTTGGATTTGGAGTCAGAGGCCCCTGAGTCAAATCCCAGCTTTGATTTTGATCCGTGTGACCCCGAGCAGATCGTTAACATTTCTGAATCTCAGTTCCTTCAAGTGTACAATCAAGCAACTGGACTAGATTGCATAAGCTCTAAACCTCAGAGACATCAACATCCACACTCATGGCTTCTTAACTCCCCAAACCTCTATCTCTATTCTACAATAGCAATCTAGCAGTGCTGTTGTTTATTAGATGTCGCCGTCTTTAGAAACTACTCTAATATCCTGAGCTCAAATTTCCGTATCTGATTAAAATCTCTTATCCACCAAGTCTCCCACTCCTTCATTTGTACTGAACTTGTTCTTCATCAAGTTTTATTGGAGATCTGAAGAGAAAGAAAGATCGTTTTCTTATTGAGGTACTCCATCACCTTGGACCCCCAAATTCGATCAGTCAATTCCTATTGATTCTACCTTCACAATCCTTCTAAAATACATCTTCTCCTTTCCATTTTCAATTGAAATAAATTCAATACACATTAATTAAGAGCTTCCTAAAGACAAAGCACTAATCTAAGTGTTAAGGTTACAAAAAGAAAAGTGAAACATCACTTGCCCTCAAGGAACTAAGATTTCAAAGAAGAAAATGTGAAGAGGGTATGTATCCCAGAGATACAAAGGCACAAAAGCAAAAGATGGAACATTATATAAAGAAGCAAGCTAGTAAGTCAGTTTGATGAGAATACAGAAAGGGGAATAAAATGAAATAAGATTGAAAAGGTAGTAGGAGTTAGAACATGACATGATCTTTTCCTCCTTGGAAGTCTTATAATACTTTGTGTTTCTTTTATGATGCTACTTAAATTCAGCTGTGTACCATAGCTATTTTTGAGTGCTGGAAAAAGGGAGGGAGGGAGGGAGGGACTAAGGGAGGAATGAAGGAAAGAAGGAAGGAAGGAAGGATCCCTGTCCTCAAGGAGTTTATATTCTACTACAGGGGGAAAAAATCATATCTAAATTTTGTATAAATACAAAATAAGTAACAGAAGGATGAGAGTGTTAACAACTAAGGAAATCAGCAAATATCTCTTGGAGGACATAGCTTTTCAGTTAGCAGTAAAAGGAGTTAAGGGTTCCAAAAGATAGAGGGTGAGGAGGGAAAGTAATGAATGGGCTATTCCCCAGGCATGAGTAACAGCTCATACAAAGGCAAGGACATAGAAAATGGAACATTATGTATGGGGAACAGGAAGTAGTTCAGTTTGGCTCAATCAAAGAATGCATGGCAGTGGGGGGAAGAGGGGAGGTTATCACACTGGAAAGACTGGCTAGAGATAAATGGTCATATATTTAACTGCCTAACAGAGGAGTTTGTATTTGATCCTTAGATGCAATAGGGCACCAATGACTCTTATTGAACAAGGAAGAGAAATGGACAGAACTGTGCTTTAGGAATATCAGTTTGGCAGTTTTGTGAAAGATTAGGACTAGAGAGGGGAAAAGCTAGATACAGCAAAACCAAATGAGAAGTTACTGCAACAGTCTGGGTGATGAAACAGATAGGTGATAAAGGCCTAAATTAAGGTGGTAGTCATATGAATAGTGAGAAAGGGACAAATAAGAGATATGTTGTGGAAGCAGAATTAAAAAACTTGGCAACTGACAGGCTCATAGAGAGCTACAGAAAGTGAAAAGTTGAGGATGACTCCAAGGTTGGGAACCTGGATGACTAAAAGGATGGACTAGTGCCCTAGACAAAAATAATAAAGTTAAGAGGAAGGATGGGTTTTGGGGAAAGACAGTAAGTTCCGTTTTGGATGTGTATCTCTTCTAGCTACAAAATTTTACTATATCAATGGTATTATCTGTGGAAAAAGTTTAAATATTCAAATATGCTAGATAAAAAGGTTGAAAATTCTTAACAAAAAGAAGAGAAAATGTGTTGGCATTTTCACTATCTGTATATTTTTAATGACTGTCAAGATCATAACATATTATCCATCTGACTATTTTCGTTTATGATGTGTATATTCACAAAGATTATTCTTTGATGAAGGCAGAGTTCTCACTGAAATAAATGATAATGTGAATTTATTATTTTTGTGAAAATACATGTTTGACATTAGAATGAAAATGAATGTGTAGTGGGCAGCTAGGTGACACAATGGATAGAGCACCAGTCCTGGAGTCAGGAAGACCTGAGTTCAAATCCGGCCTCAGACACATAACACTCACTAGCTGTGTGACTCTGGGCAAGTCACTTAACCCCAATTGCCTCACCAAAAAAAAAAAAAAAAAAAGACAGAAAAAAAGAAAGAAAATGGATGTTTAAATTAAATAAATTTATTTTCACTTTATGTAAAGTAGAGTCAACCTACACAATAATAAAAATAAATGATAAAATGTGACAGTGATTTTAAAAAGTGTGCTACAGCAAGGAAAACATAATCAAAAAGCATTTTCTGAACAACAAATTTGCCAAGTTAAAGTGATACAATTTTCAAAAGTATTAGAATACTTACATAAACAAATGTTACAGAAAGCAAAAACTTTAGCCTATGGGGAAAAATTACTTGCTTAATTTGGGAAATATTCATCTGTAACAAGTAAGATGGCTAAGAAACTTTTTTGCAAATAAAAAATAGTCAAGGAAATCACTTAAAAAAGGTCAACATTACTACTATGGCAACTTTTTCTCTCTTAGATGTGACTAGTTTCTAGAATAGGAATACTGTGCACCTCATTCATTTTCTCATCAAACGAATTTGGAAGGCCAATTATCATGCCACTGAGTACAAAAGAGTAATGTTTTTAAATTTAAACTTACCTGAAAATGTAGAGAAACAGCAGGTTTGGCCATCAAAGTATTGAAACGTTCATGAAATTGTGGTGAAAGAATATCCTGTGACAAGGTTTCATATGGATCAAATGCTTGTTCCTTAAAAAAAAAAAGTTTTTGGAAAGTAAAATAAGTTTAGCCTACATAGTCATAGATATAAGTACTTTCATTCTCAGTATAACATAGGTACAATTTGCTCCTCAGACTAGTTGGTACAGTAGATAATGGTGCTGGGCCTAGAATCAGGAAGACCTGAGTTCAAATCCAGCCTCACACACTTAACCTCTGTTTGTCTGTTTCTTCATCTGTAAAATGGGGATAATGATAATAATAGCACCTACCTCCCAGGGTTGCTGTGAAGATCAAATGAGACAATATTTATAAATATGCTTAGTATAGTAGGTGTTATATAATGTTAACTATTATTAAGTCCTCAACTAGATTTTGATTTTTTTTGCTCTCTACAATGCAAAGGTAAGTACCAAATATAACTTACCTGTGACTGCAAGTATATACTTTCAAAGGAATTTATACAGTGCCTTTAAGCCATGGAGTTCACATTGTCTTGACCATTGTCATCTCAAAATAAGTCACTAACACTGTGGCCACAAATAGCAAACTGTGATTTATATGTGTTTATATATGTATGTGTCTATGAAAGTTGGCGTTCAGTTGTGTCTGACTCTTTGTGAACCCATTTGGAGTTTTCTTGGCAAAGATACTGGAGTGGTTTGCCATTTCCTTCTCATCTTACAACTCACTTTACAGATGAGGAAACTTGAGGCAAACAGAGTTAAGTGACTTGCCCAGGGCCACACAATTAGTAAGAGTCTGAGGCCGAATTTGAACTCAGGTCTTCCCAACTCCAGGCCAGGTGCTCTATCTACTGTACCACCTAGCTACCCCTATATACCATATGTATACATGTGTAGGTATATGTGCATAAACACACACACACACACACAGACACACACACAACTATGTTAGAGGGAGAGGCAAATGAAAAGGAGTGAGTGCCAATAATCAAAAAGAAAGTAACTTTTGTAGTTTTGGTCTGAAGATGTTAAAAAATATATATACTATATTTCAAGTTAAATTCTAACCCTTAGGTGGAATAAATTTTCTTAAGGACAGCTAGGTAGCACAATGGATAGAGCACCATCCCTAAGTCAGGAAGACTTGAGTTAAAGTCTGGCTACAGAACTTACTAGTTGTATGACCCTAGGCAAGTCATTTAACCCCAATTGCCCTTGGAAGGAAGGGAGGGAGGAAGGAAGGAAGGAACAAGGGAAAGAAGGAAAGGAGAAAGAAATTTTCTTAAGTAGTTACATGAAATAGCAGTGCTTTATCTATGACATACTTTTCAAAAATGTTAAGACAAGTAGATATGAATGAGCATTAATAAGACAGGCTACGTAGACAGTCTACATTCAAATAAAAAAAGTGTATTACCAAATTTTTGTCCCCTAATAAAGTATGTTGGTTTAAGATAAGTGTTCAATGCTTATTCCTTTCAAACTTCAAGGATGGTTTCTGGTCAATTTGTAATTTCATCACCTGAAATGGTTACTTGAACCACTTTAAGTCTACATTAATATCTTTTAAAACTACAATCTGTTAATATGTTTGACAACTAAGCCATAAATATACAGGAGTTCAAGATAAGCAAATATGCTAATAAGAACAGGACTGAGAATTTCAGATAGCCAGCAAACAATTAACAGTGTTAGTTTCCTTAACTAAAAAGTGAGTAAATGAAAGTGATCCATTTTATCAGACTAATGTTGAATGAAGACAGATACCTGAGCAATATCTTTTACATTAAGCATATGATACTTTACAGATTCCAGAAATGAACTCCAATAACTTTATTAGCACACTATATAGCTGCAATGAACACATTACTTCAAAAAGCCATTCACATAAAATTAATTTGAAGTAATTTGAAATAAACTGTTAAGCAGAAATATAGAACACAGTGCAGTAGTAAAATATGCAATGATTTCAGCTTACTGATTTAAAGAAAACTAAGTATCTTTATAGTAGAAAATGTCTTCTCAGTTTTGACAGAAAAATTAACCAAATAATATGCAGCTTAGCAACCAACTTAAATATTTTAATGAGAATATAAATATAGTTTTATAAACTTACTTCTGCTAGATCTTCAAAACAGCTGCCAGCTAAGGGATGAGGACTGCTTTCATCAGTCATTTCAACTGTGTCTTCAATCAAGCCTAAAAGCTTTACAGTCAATTCATGAATATCTAAAATGTTGCTGAATATCCCTTCAATATCCTAAAGAAATAAAAATGAAAGCATCTGAAGCTAAAAATATGCTAATGTTATTGAATTAAAAATACTCATACATAAGATAAAGATGAAAAATAATTCACATCTAAGAAGTCATGTTAATATTTCACAAGAAACAAAGTTCCCACAAGACAAGTCTTGAAATTCTACATAAAAGAGGTTATATTAAAGAAACACAAGAAAGGAGAGAAGTGTGGGGGGTGGGGAGAAGGTAGCGATAAAACATACAAAACTGAAGTCAATCAGTAAGAAGGAAAACATAATACTCTGGGTCACAAGATAGAAAAGCAGATTAGAAAAATAGAAATTCTAGGTAGTTCATCTTAAATACGCACTGTACTATATATCAAGAGCTTTAATTGTGAGCCAATGGTTGGCTTTCATAACGAATAGATAAATTTTTGGTCCCAAGGTCTCCGTACAACAAAATAAGATTTACCTTTATTTATTAAGGTAATGGACAAACTATTTACTCTGGAGACATAAGTGTAATACATTTACCCAGGTAAAATAGGACCCTCAAAATGGCAAACTGGGATCAATTTTGCTCAAGATTTCAATCCCTTTATATGACAAATCAATGCCATCACCTATGGGGAAAAAAATCAAGTGCTTTATAAATGCTAATGGTAAAAAAAGGTAAAACTGATGACCTGAGCAAATGAAATTATCTCCTTATTTTCCTAGATACTATTGTACATACAATCCATTGTATTTTGTATAAATAAAAAATATAATAGACTTTTGATCCAGAGGCCTGGGTTCTAGTCCAAGCTCTTGCAGTAACTTAAAGTCACAATTTTTATGTCTCATGTTCTTCATCTATAAAAATAAAACCTGCTTTATGAAAATCATAGCAAATAATAGATATGAGTATTCTGAAATTTTGAAAATACATAATATAATATTATGTATTATAATAAATTATGTATAATATTGTATGTATAATAATTATTATGTATTATAATAAATTATGTATGTATAATAAATGAAGCTGTGATTTCACAGTTGTGGGTATTCCCTCCAATGATGTAGACTGTAATCTGTGCAACCTAGGCAACTCTTGTCCACACTCTTTGAAAAGTTTACTACAGAGAATCCAACCAACATTCTGAGAGCTTTCCTCAATTTCACATGACATTGAAAATTGTTTATCAGTTTTCCTGTGCTCTTACCACATAACCAGCCCATCATTGTTTTTGTTCATTTTTTTGTTGAAAACTTTTTCTCTAGTTCTCCTTTGTAGTTCCCTGTTTATAATTAATGTGTTGCAGCCTGTTCATATCTACCATGCACCTCTATACCGCCATATAAGTGATAATCGTTTTTCACTGTTTGGAAACTGGTGTTCCATAATTTGTAATCATAAAACTCTGATAAAATATTGGTGTTCTAAAAATAGGCCTTTGTTTCTGGGAAAATTTTATGGTCATTAAAAGAAGTTTTCAATTTCTCAAAGGCAATTCAGCTTGCTTGCTTTCCTCCTATTTAGCTCTGGGCCTGACTCACCACCAGCCTGTAGTGTCTGACTAAGATAACTGCCTAACAGTCAGGACATCAGGCATTCTTCCTCTGCTTCGGAATGTTTGAGGACTCAGTACAATCTGCACAATGTCTTCTGCAAATAGGAACATGAAGAGGACCTCACCATTTACAGGAAATATGTCTACAACTTGGATTGTGTTTTGGAACCCATCTTTGACAACGGAAAAAATCTTTGGCAAGCATAAATCCCCCCTGTTTTATGTCCTGTCTGATATTAATGATCAGAAAATCAAACTTTTAATGTTAAATTTTTTCAAGAAATCTTGATAATTTTGATGTAGCCATTAGAAGACAGCTTTTAACACAGCATTTTGCTCTACTGAATCAAATATTTTTTACAGTCAGCAAACAAGTGGCCAAGAGCCAGTCTGGCAAAATGGATAAGAATGCTAATTGGGAGTTGGGAAAACCTGGGTTTAACTGACACACATGCAGGATATGTGACTAAGAGCAAATCACTTAACCTCTCAGTGCCCCCAAGAAGCTCGGTGAGATTATAAATTGTAGATCGGGGGTCAATCTGTCCTGGTAGAGTTAGTTCCTCACTGGGAATTTCCTATACTGATGAAAACAACAACAACAAATGCTGGAATTTGATGTTCTTTGCATCATTTAGTCAAGTGTATGATAATAAAATGTCATCTATAGCTTGAAAAAGTCTGCCTGTTTCCTTATAATATCTTCAACAAGATAGCCCTGACACAAATTATTCTCAAAGTTCAAGATTCTTTCCCCACACCTTTGGTGTCTTCCCCTGCTTCAGATATGTTGAGAATCATTCTCTCAATGCACTTTCCATTTTGCTACCTCCAGCACAGAACTATTCTAGTAATTGGTCAAGTTTGGTTGCTTTTCCTATCTTTGTTCTTTTCAGTGACATTTCCACCTCCTTTATTAGCATAGCTGAGGTTGTAAAGATAGAATTCCACTGTCCTTGATAGTAAAAAGGATGTTATAGAATGTCTTAAAATCTCTTCCATCTTTTGCTTATTTCTTCTTCTTACAATTTCATCCTTAAATGCCTGCAGGATAAGTATGCTTAGTTTGTCAATCTTTCTTTAAACTAGCTTTACTCTCTAGTATTTCTCTTTGTTTTATGAGACAATGTTGCTCACAATGATTTACTATCCTTCTAAGTTTTTACAAATGAGTTTATACTCTAAACTAATTTGTCTTTGGTTGTCATATCCTTTAACTTCGCATGTAAAATATCAGTATAGTATCTGGTGGGGAGTTATAGAAACATTCTTAAACTAAGCAAATGCATTACAGAAAAAATAAAGTCTACCAAAACACCTTAGAATACCATCTGCTTGATTTTAGAGCTTAAGAAAAAGACTGAGAAAATTTAAGTTTTTATTCTCTAGTGTTTATTTAGCCAACACTATCTAAGTACCACTCCCTTCTCATAAATGAAATACATATTTTGAAGGAAACAATAAACAGGTAGAGCAGCAAAGAAAGCAATGGATGACACTGAATACAAGAAAGGTAGAAGACTAGATCTTTAAAAGAAAAAGACAATGGGTGCCAGAAGGTAAAGGGGGAAAAAAACTTCTCCTTTCCATCATAACATTTATTCTGAGACAAAGACATTCCCAGTCTATTACATCCTATTCTTTCCAGAAAAACATCTCAATTCATGAGATTCTTTCCTGTAGAACTCATGTTTGGGGCATTCCTTTAGCATAACATACATTTTATTTTCTCATAGGCTCCCAGGAAATTACCCTGATCACTTTAGACATCAGATATTTGAGAAAGCTTTCAGTCTTTTTAGTTGCCTCACTAATCTTACGCGGCATTTCAATATGTTGGTGAAACAATTCAACTATTTTTAAAATCATACTAAGACTACTCAAAAGAACATTTTTGTTCTATGTACATGGATTTTAAAGCTATTTAATTATTCTAAGTTTTGTAACACATTTTGAGATACAGAATATCCCAAATCTAGGAATGGTACTTACAGAAGATGCAAACAGCTTTTTGTTTGAAAGGAAAGCCTCCCGAAATACTTTTATTATCAGATTTAATTCCCGTAGATATTGTCTTTCTTCTGCAATTTCAGTTCTGACTAAATCATAGTAATTTAGTTCACCTGAAGAAAAGGGTTCATCTTCACAGAGCGAAACCAAACCAATGTCATCCTGATCAAACATGTCCATTAAAACCTGATAAATACAAAATAGCATATTATAAATGCCTATCACTAATTTGGTTTAAATTAGCTCAATGTTCTTCATAATCATCACATGAATAAGCAATAAGAATGTACAATTATATAAGTTAACTGTTATGAGAAAATAAAGAGTAAAAGGTTAAGTCATAAGCCAAGACTATTGCAATATCCTCTTTCCAAGTCATCTTGCCTCCATTCTCTCAATTCAATAAACATTTATTAAGCATTTATTTTGTGGCAAGATATTGTATACTCCCTCCCCTCTTCAATTCATTCCTTAAATACTGATGACAGAATAATCTTTCTAGTAAAAGTCAGTCTTCTGCTCATAAAATCTTCTATGGTTTCCTATGATCTGCCAAGTGCATACACCTCCATGATAAGCATTTATTAAGCACTTACTATGTGTCAGGCACTGTCCTAAGTACCAGGGATACAAACAAAGGCAAAAACACACTCCTTGACCTCAAGGAGCTTACATCCTAATGGGGGAAACAACATGTAAACAAGATATACACAGAGTAAATTGAAGGTATTCTAAGAGAGGACATTAGCAGCTGGGGGATTGGAAAGGGCCTCCCAAAATAAGTAGAATGTGAAAAAAAAAAAAGAAGTAGAATGTGAGTTAAGTCTTGAAGGAATATGAGGGAATCTAAAAAGTAAGTGTAAGGGGGTAGGATATTACAAGTATTTGGAATAGCTGGTGCAAAGACATGAAGATCAGAGACAAAGCGTCACATTTAAGGAGCTGCAAGTTGGCCAGTGTTGCTGGAATATAGAGTAGTGAGAGGAGAGTAAAGTGTAGGAAGACTGAAAAGGTAGAAAGGTATTAGGTTATGAAAAACTTTAAATGCAAAAAAAAAAGAACCAAAATGATTGTGAGGATCAAACACAAACATTACAAACTTGGATGACTGAGAAGATGGTGGTTTCTTCTATAGTAAGAGGAAAAGTTGGAAAGAGGGGAGAATTTGGATGGAAAGATTCTCACAAAATCTGGCTCTAACCTACCTTTCTGGCAAGATTTCATCTTACTCCCCTTTAGTTACTCTATGCTCCAGCCAAACTAAACTATTCTCATCTTCAAACAAACTTCATTCTCCTACTTCTATAATTCTGCTCACTCTCTTCCCCATTAGAATCCATCTCAAAACCTGATTTCCCAGATCTTCCCCAGCATTCTCCCCCACCCACAGTACTTTGTATAGAAATTCTCTAATGTATTTTTAAATACTGTACATTATAAGTTTATGTCTTACCTCCATACTGAATATAAACAAGAGCAGGGACTGTAATGCACCTAAATGTTGTACTATTCCCAATGCCTAATATAGTGCTGCCTACACACAATAGGTACTTAATTTTTGTTGAACAACATCAGAATGTTGTTGCTTTTGATTTTTACAGAGGAAAAGTTAGGTAAAATGTGACCTCTCAAATAATCACAACATGAAATCTGACAATGAAGATAGATGACAGAGCCCAGCTGTATAATCAATCAAATATATTACCAAGTCATGTTTGGATGAATGAAAAAAATACCTTTATTAAATACTTACTAGTTTATCTCATTCTTTTTTGTTTTTTAATTTTATTTTCAGCTTGAATTCCATCCTTCCTGCCTCCCTCACCCCTACCCATTGAAAAAGCATGAAAAATAAATCTGCCTAAAACATATATAGTAAAGGAAAATAAATTCCCACATTAACCATGTCCAAAAAATAAATGCCTCAATCTGCACAGAATCCATCATCTCTCTATCTGGAGGTCAATGGCAGGTTTCATTATGAATCCTCTAGAATCCTAGCTGGTCGCTGTATTGATCAGAATCCTAAGTCTTTAAAAGTTAATTTCGCTTTATTGTTCCCAGTCCTATTCTCTTTATTCTGCCTCAGTTCATATGAGTATTCTCAGGTTTCTTTGAAACCATCTCCTTCATCATTTCTTACAACACAATTGAGTAGTCCATTAAATGTGTATACTATAACTTGTTCAGCAATTCCCTAATTCATAAGCACCCCCTCAATTTCCAACTCTCTGCCACCAAGAAAAGAGCAGCCATAATTTTTTTTGTAAACACGGGTCTTTTTCCTCTTTACTTGATCTCTTCGAGGTACAGACTTACTAGGCAAGATCATTAGCTTAAAGGGTATGAACAGTTCAATAGCTTTTCAAGCATAGTTACAAACTGCTTTCCAAAAAAGCTGGACACTTCACAGCTCCATACCTCCTGGTATTCTTTCTAGCTCTTGGTCATAAACACTTCCCCTATGGCAGGTAATTTCTTCCATGCACCTATAATTTGTTTATGATACCACTCTTTATATCTAAATCATGTAACCACTTGGAGCATGTCTTGGTATATACAGTGGAAGAAGTTGATATATTCCTATGACTAAGTCATTTTTAACTGTAGCAAAATAACTATAGTATCAATCATTATTCATAACCCAAGAGAATTAGCTTATTGGTAGAAGCTTCCAGTAAAGCCCTTAAGAAGGGATCACTAGTGAGAGAAGTAGGAGGGGAGAGTCCGCCTTAGTCTCCTCTCTCCCCTCACACCCTTGGCCAGAGGAGGAACTTGATGACTTCAGAGAATGGACCCTTTTCATTGAAATCCTAAGTGTTCCTGGGAAAGAGTAACAGCTAGTGGCAGTGACTGTATCAGGAGCCAAGAACAAACTAGATACACTGTAGAAAAGTGGATTCAAGGCTCTATAAGGAGCCCTGCAGAAAGTTACACTATTCCTAAGGAGCACATCTTGAAGACTCTATAAAGGGGTCCTCCCATAAGGGAGAAAAAAGGAATTCCATGAGCTGCGAGTTATTTTGACACCTGTGCTTTAAACCTGAGTCTCTTTTCCCCTGGATTCTGTATACTGGTGGGAAAGTATGTCACAGATTTTGGGGGGGATATTTTGTAACAACTATACCACCATATTAAATATCTGTTTCCAATGGCCAATTAACTGACTAACTGATATGCATACTTGAAAGCACAGCAGTATTGGCATACAAATTATAGTACTAGAAAACCATGTTCCTGCCCGTCAAGGTTCCCTAAAACTTGAGGACAGATGCAGAACTTATGCTCTATGGACCCAGGCTGCCACTATGAATGGGTGCTGAAAAGTAAGTCTGGGACTTATGCTGAAATGGGATCATAAATTTATAAGTGGAAGAGATCTTACAAGTCATTTAGTCTACCCTAAACACATTTTACAGATTAAGAAACTGAGTCCTATAGAGGTTAGTGACTTGCTAACAATGACAGAGGTGGGATTTGAACTCAGGTTCTATGACTTCAAAGCCAACATTCTTTTCCATTCTTCTAAAATCTGCTAATAAGGTATCAATGAAATCACACTTTTAAAAGATCAAAATGGCAATAACAAAGGGCAAGAGTCATTACCATCAAAACTGTATCATTTCTGAAACTATAGAATAGAACTTTATTATAATTACTGCATGAATCTGGACAAACTATGGAACAGAAAGTCTCATTAACATTAACTACACATTAGAAAAGTAGGAACCTTAGTGCTCAGATTAATTTCATGCAGCAAGTCTATGTAGTGATATAGCATGCAAGTATAATCTTTTTAAGTATTGTATGATAAGGTTGCCCTAAACTTTTAAAGAACAATTAGAAATCAGAAAAGTTTTAAATTTAAAAGGAACTTTCAAGCTAATAGTACACTACACTTACAGATTCAAATTAAATTTCTTAAAGCCAGGTCATTCCCTCATAGATACAGAAAAACAAAATCTGATGGGAAAGTAAAACTTAATTTTTAAAAATGTTATTAAAAGTAAACACTGAACTGTAAACAAAGTAGGTGCCCATTAATTTGGGAATGGCTAAATAGAGTTTATGGTATGTTAGCAAAATGAATATGATAAATACAGAAAAGCACAGGAAAACTTATATGAATTGATATAAATTGAAGAAAGCAGAACCAGAAAAATAATATACACAATGACTACAATAATGTAAAAGGAAATAACTACAATAAAACAATCAAAACTGAATGTTGTAAAATTATAATGACCAAACTTGACTCCAAAGAAGAGATGGTAATTCTCTTGGAAAGCACACCAGTGTCAGTACACCTCTCTTTCACTCTTTGAAGAGGTGAGGGACTATGGTTGAGGAACCCTGTATCTAATATCAGACTTTTTCAATGTGTTGGTTAGTTTGTTGAACTATTTTTTTCCTCTCTGTTTTATTTTTTGTTATGAGGAATGGCTCTTTGTAAAAGGGAAGGAGGTATGTTATACTGTGAAACGTAGGTGATGTAAAAAGGAAAAGATATAAATAAAAATTTGTTTAAAAAAAGTTTGAAGTTTGAAAAGAAAAAGAAACTTCAAAATAAGGAAGAAAGGAAAGTATACCATGGGAAAGTGTGCTGGCTTTGGAATCAGAGGACCTAAGAAAATCCTGATTTGACAGAACTTGTGTGACCATAGGCAAGTCTCTTCATTTCAATTCAATGTCCTCCCCTATAAAATGACTGCCCTCAGAGTTGACCCTTTCCACTATAGCTCTATAACATGAGCTTTGCTACTTCATGCCTTTGAAGTCTTAGACAAACCACTTAAACTCTCTGGGCTTCAGTTATACATTTGTAAGATGAGGAAGTTAGACTACAGGGCCTCAGAGATTAGGATTTACATGCCCTTCGGACACAACACGCGCAGGTAAGAGTGTGATACCTTATGTGGAGAGAGAGAGACAGACAGAGAAAGAGACAGAGAGCAAGGAAGGAAAGAAGGAAAGGAAAAAGAAAGAAAGAAAGCCCTCCTTCACTTAAATCCAGTTCACTTGCATGTCACAGCATCACCTCCCTGATGTCATGGTCCTCTTCGAGAATGAAGGACAAACAGCAACCTCTATGAGTAGAAAAGGAGCTGCCCACTGAGGACCAAACTTTCAGTTGGGCAAACACCTCAAAGGATTATTATAAGGAGAGTACTTTGTAAATTTTAAATTGTTATTTAAGAATGAAATATACTATTATTTATTAAAAGAAATAATAATTATGCTAAAAATAAATTTAAAGAATCGTTCATTCTTACCTTATCTGCACACATTGATACTTTAATGTCCTGCTGGGATATTTCATAATGTCTGATATTAAAAACATAATTACCAGCCAATTTCAGAATATCAGCTGAGATATACTCCAATACAGCCACAATATAAAGAGAGACATGATAATCTACTTTATACCCTAAAACTTCCTGTATGGGAAAAATGATAGAAGGAAAAAAGATGCAATTGTTCATTTTAAAAAAATAACATTCTGCTAGGTAACAAATTAATTAAAATCATTATTTAAATGATTATTAATCATTTAATATAATAGAACTTTTTATGAATTTACCATCCAAAATGATATGGCCTTTGAAATTTCAGTATACTGAAATTAATTATAAAAGCTAAAGAATAAATTACAACATAAAATGAACAATGAAAGAATACATATCCCACAAACATGTAATACAAGACAAAGATTCTCTCCTTTGTTCCACAGAAATCAGTCACCACACCTATGTTAACACCCTTTGATGGTAAACTAGCCTGGCAATCCATTCTGAACAAAAAAAGTCCTAACCTGGATTTCTCTGGGTGATTCTGATTTCAGATCCAGAAACCTATCATGTTAGCTTTAATTAATAGGTGTTACTGTCTAAGAACTACAGAAACTAATTAACAACTTTTCAGTTGATATAAGGTCATAGACAGCCAAAGCAAAGTCTTTTGCCTTCTAATAATTACTAAAAAAAAACCAAAAACTTATTCTTGAAGAAAAGGATTAGAAACCCAGTGCAGTATAAAACAATTTCACATAATACCCATGAAATCCCTTTACTTGAAAAACAGGGCTTTTTTTTTAATGGAAAGCACAATTATTTCAATAAGTAAAAGCCTGTGGGCTTTTTTTCTTCCTTCCATTAACATGAAATTGACATGGATACAATTAACATTTTATTGAAGTTTTCAAAACATCTATATATATATATAAATATATGCGTGTGTGTGTGTGTGTATGTATATATATATAGGATACAAAAAAGATATTTTTAAGATCCCATATCAAAGAAAAAAGAGCATTCCTAAATACATCATAATGAGTCAACATCAACTTTAAAGAATTACTAAAGTCTTGAATTAAAGGTTGTCTCTAAAAGCACAGTGCAATGAAGCAACAAAGAATTCTTTAAAAAAGTAATAATATGAGTCAATAATTCTGGTTATCTACTAAATTTATAAAAGATTATATTAAGTGTCATGAGGAGTTAGAAAGAAAAAATGTCAAGTCCTAGTTATTAAGGAACTTGCTATAAAACAGAGAAAATAGGAAAAATTTATTTAAAAAAAACAGCAAGTAATGAAAACATATAAATGTATAATAAAATTGCTAAAACTGCAAAACAACTAATCTAAATTTAAGAAACAGGGAAGTCAGTAGGATGAAAAAGATGTTAAAATGTTAAGAATAAGTTAATGAAATCTGGAAAAGTTACATGGAAGAAGAGAATCTTGAAAAGAGCTAAGAAAATAATTTGGCAGGCAATTAAGGTCTTAATGATCTGTTTACTGCTGTTACAGATGGAGTTAACCCTAAAAATCCAACTCTAAATACTGCAACTGCCCTCTGCCTCTGAGCACCTTACTTCTTTCTGCAAATGTTCTACTTGCATGACACATAATCAGGAATGGTACTTCCCAGAAAATATCTCAATGGTATGGATTGCTAGTACTGCTCTACAAATACAGAGTATCCCAAAAATCAAAAGCTTCAATAGCTTAAAATTGTACTAAGACTTTTGGGATACCCGGTACACTCATACACCCCAACACAGAGAATTGACTGAATGATCATTTATTAAGTATTATTATGAAATTCTCTACCAAAGTTTACAAGAGTTGTATCTGAATTTATGGAAAGTCTTACCAATGTAATACTTCTACATTCTGGTCAATAGAAAATGATTTTAAAGAAATGATTTTAAAATAAACATACAATATGTATACAAATAAAGAATTATTTACAATAAAAATATTCCTTTTAATTTTTAATACCTTCAATAAAGGATGAATTTTATCCACAGGTAACAAGAGAGGGGTCCTTCGTTTTCGTTTTTCTATGGCAGACTGTGCATCAGCGATAGCCCACTTGTCAATTGGATGAGGAAAAGTCTTTTGAACACGTTCCTGTTCATATTACAGAAACATATTTGTACTTCTTAAGTTTTTGCAGAGATGTGCATAAATACAAAACCAAAAACAAAACTCAACTTTAACATTATCCTTAACTTTGCAAAAGATACTTACTCATTAGGTCCTGAGCCTTTCTAATGCTAATTTTTTATAGGTTTGTGTTTTTTGCAGGAGTGTAGTAAGATAAGAAGGAGGTTGCCAACCTAACTTGTAGGTAACTTCTCAGTCTATTTGTCTCATTTCTGTAGTTAATTTCATAATCCCAAATGCTAGCGTAACCTAAAGATTTATTTGGATATCTGTATTAATTACAAAAATTTTAACACCTCTCATACTTCATCCCAACTAAGCTCAAAGGTCCCACTTCAGTTCATCAAATATTATTTATTAGATAAACTGGGGAAATCTCTTTTCTCATAAATAGCTAATCATATCTGCTTATATATTACAACTGCTCATCTCCTAGAAATAAACATTTAAATTACTGAACATACAATTTATTGACAATTAAGTCAATAATAAAACAAAGACATAATTATAAGAGGAGTGTTCTACACTCCCACCTCAATAATTACAAAGGTCCTGGACTTCTGGATTGAATCAGAGACATGAATTAGGTAGGAATAAGGCTTAGACAATCTTTTTGAATCATTTTAAGTAGGTAAAAAAAAATCCTTGGTCAAATTTGGAAATAGTGAAGGCCACTGAATGAGTGAGATGACATTACATAGGAAGTGTATTGGCTTAGCAGAAGAAACTTCTTTAAGTCCTAAGGCATTTATATAAAGTAGCAATGGTGAGGAGGAAGGAGACACATAACAGGGTTTCATGAGCAATATTATTAGAAAACCACCTCCAAACCCTCAAGTCTCTTCTGAAGAGAGACGAAGTAGCCTCCCTCTAGGGACTCAGCCTCACTCTTTGTGAGTGGGGAGTTGAGAGAGTAACCACAGACCATGTGAACTTTTAATTATCAACAATGTTTTAACCATGGAAATATCTAGCCCAAGTCACCTCAAAAATGACTATAACATGGGAGTGATTTGCTTTAGGAAAAACAGTCCCACACCATTCAAAAGCAGGATACCTTAAAAAGTCTCTTCATAACTGATGCTCAGCCAGCAAAGCCAGAAGAACATTGTATGCAGTAATAGCAACACTGTGCAATGCTCCACTATAACTGACTTAGCTCTTTTCAGCAATACAAAGATTTTAAGACAATTCCAAAAGACTCATGATGGAAAATGCTATCCACATCCAGAGAAAGAACTATATGGAATCTGAATGCAGATCAAAGCACACTACTTTCACTTTTTTTCTTATGGTTTTTTCCTTTTGTTTTGATTCTTTTTTTCACAACATGACTAATGTGGAAATATGTTTGGTATGATTATGCACGTATAACCTATATCAGATTGCTTGCCGTCTTGGGAAGGGGAAAAAGGAAGGAGGCAAGGGAGGAAGAAAAAAAATGGAACTTATAATCTTATAAAAGTAAATGTTGAAAACCAAAAAAATAAATATTTTTTTTTAAAAAGTCTCTTCTGGGGCAGCTAAGTGGTGCAGTGGATAGAGCACTTGCCCTGGAGTCAGGCAGACCTGAGTTCAAATCCGGCCTCAGACCAAACATTTGACCCTTACTAGCTGTGTGACCCTGGGCAAATCACTTAACCCCAACTGCCTAAAAATAAAAAAAAAATTAAAAAGTTTCTTCATAGAATCATTTTCATTTTCTACACAAGAAAAAGATAAGGAACTGACCTATGATTTCACTCATATAAGGAATTCCTAGGTGACGAAACTCCCTTTACCAATTCAAGTCAGCACCTCTAACAGCTACCTAGAGCACTAAGATTGAATGACTTGCATTGCAATAGCCAATACTTGTCAGAGATGAGACTTAAACCCAGGTCTGGCTTCAAGGTCAGATCTCTACTATACCATACTGTTTCTGTTTTTCTTAAGAGAAAGGTTTCAGAAGTTTAATAAAGTAAGATCTCGCTATCTTCTGTCTTCTCCAGTCATGACAGGAACATAATTTTGTCAGTCACCTATCTCACTCCTCACATATTTTTTCCTGTTTCTTAGAGATAATAACTATAATCTCTGTAGGAAAGGGTTCTGAGACAGGTGTTACAAGAATAAAGAATTCTTTGAGAGAAAGTTCTGAACATAGATCATCAGGAATAAGCAAGATGGAAATGAAAGAGGATAAAGGTATTATACATATTATATGAAATTACATACTAGATGATTTTATAATGAGGTTCTTAATGTAACAGCTTCCATTCATATTAGCAGGCACAAAATAAGATTCTCTTGCTAGCCTTAGGGATAATAATGGGGATTCAATAACAAGGGTGATGGAGGGAATTATGTGGAATGATATCCTAAGACTTTTTTAGGGGTAGATTTAGGCTGGCTATTGGTGAAAATAGCCTTTGAAAGACCTATCATGCAGAAAAATACAGTAGCTTCCCAATTAACATTATGGTATGAACAACTACATTTTTATAAACATATACAAACTAGTTTAATGTATTTTATCAAGCTCTTCTATTTTAAGACATTACTCTCTAAACTTTTAACAAACTGAAAAATAACATGTTAAAAACAATTAACAAACTAGAGGTAAAAACTACTGTGCCTTTTTCAAACTCCTTTTTATTGTACAGATTTAATATTCAAATCTAATTGCAGAGATAGATGGTAAATAAATGATTTAATTTTATGAATTCTTAAAAATCCTACTAGCTTAAAAAACTCCTTGAAAATTAAAGTGTTTTTTAAATTAGAACTATCTCCTAATTTTAGAACAAATAAAAAAAGGAACAAATGATATAGCCCAAAGTATTCTTTTTGAAGGCTGAGCTGATATTAGCAAATGCTTCTGATTTAATTTCCTTTGAACTGATAGCCAAAATAATTATTTTAAAACAAGCACTGACCTAATTTACAGCGAAGATTTTTTAAGCTTAATTTTTTGAGTAATGATGGCTGGAATATGTTTTGTTATCATGATTTCCAAGGTGAATCAGCCAGCACAGCATTTGAAATAAAATTAACATATTTTTCTTACCTCTACATCTTGAACAGTTCTTGGCTGTGCAATGCATAATTTATTTAGCAGTTGAAGGATCAACTCTTCAATATAATATAGAGAATCTTCTTTTGCTGAGAGATTGGGGTGAACTTGATGCTGAACCTATAAAAACAATTACTTTATTACTTGTTGATAAAGAAAAATAATAAAAGGATATTCAACAAAAGTCAAGAGAACAAGATATATACAATTTGTAATACCTTATTTAAAAATTAAGACAAAAGGATGAAACAAAAATATATTGCTTCTTATTTTTCCTTGAAGGTATTTTTCTTGTCATGGAGGATCAGTTGGGGAAAGGTTATTATTTTACAACAGTAGAATTGCCCTGAGGAAATGATAGCCAGGCAGGAAAAGAGAAGAGATAAACATCACAGGGAAACAGATGATGCAATTTAAAGCGCATTATAAATATTCAGGAATTTTTAACACCCTCCTCAGAAATAAACTATCCTTTATTTTTTGCCTGCTTCTGGCAAAATTCCTTTTTTCGTAAAATAGGTGTGAGGTGATAATGTTAATTAAATTCATATGAAGAACTAGAAGTAAATATGATGGCATGAAACATAAGAGTGGAGTTCGGTTCCATTACATAGTTAGCAATGATCTCAAGGGGATACCAGATATTATGAAGGCAGAATCAAGAAGACTTTGGCAACAGACTGGATAAGGGGAAAGGGGGGAGAGAGAGTGAGGATTTGAGGTTGACACCTAGGTTATAAACCTGGGTGACTGGGAGGATGTAGTACCCTTGACAGTAATTGAGAAGTTCAGAAAATGGGGTGCGGGGAGGGAGGAGAGGAGTGTTGAAATGATGATCTTAAGATGTCTATGGGACAGATAGTCCAGCTAGTTCAAAATGTCCAATAGGCAGTTAGTGATATGAGACAGGAGGATAGGAAGGAGGTTAGGGTTGAAAAAACATATCTTAAGAATCATTTGCAGGGGCAGCTAGGTGGCGCAGTGGATAGAGCTCCAGCCTTGGAGTCATGAGGATCTGAATTCAAATCTGGCCTCAGACACATAACACCTACTAGCTGCGTGACCCTGAGCAAGTCACTTAACCCCATTGCCTAACCAAAAAAAAAAAAAGCTTTGGGGACAGCTAGGTGGCGCAGTGGATAGCACACCAGCCTTGAAGTCAGGAGGACCTGAGTTCAAATCTGGCCTCAGACCAAACACTTGACACTTACTAGCAGTGTGACCCTGGGCAAGTCACTTAACCCCAATTGCCTAAAAAAGAAAAGTAAAAAAAAAAATTGATACCAAGAATCATTTGCATAGAAATGATACCATGGGAACTGATGAGATCACCAAGAAAAAAAGTATTGCAGAGGTCAGCAAGCTACCTGAGAGCCAAATCCTGTGAGCTAAGAATGTTTTCTTTTTTTATATTTTTAAATGCAATAAAACTTTATTTAAAAATATAAAAACCATTCTTGTTTTATACAGGTAGTTTGACAATGCCTGGTACAGAGAGACAAGAGAGGAGGGTCCAGGATAGAACTGTGGGGGACATCCATGGCTGGTGGATGTGGCCTGGATGAAGACCCAACAAAGAAAACTGAAGAGTAGTCAGATAAGTAGAAGAATCAGAACAGAACAGTGTCACAAAACCCTAGAGAGAAGAGAGTATCAAGGAGAAGAAGGTGCTTGCTTCAAAGAAAACAGTGTTTCAAAGGCTGCAAAGGATAAATATTGGGGGTGGGCAGGCAATAGAGTTGATGATTAAAAGATCATTGATAACTTTGAAGAGAGCAGTTTAAGTTGAATGATCAGGTCAGAAACCAGACTGCAGAGTTTAAAACACAGTATGAAGAAAGGAAATGGAGGTATTGATTATAAAGTTTTCTCAAGAGTTGAGCCATGAAGAGGAGATATAGGATGATAGTTAGCAGGTATAAACTGTGCTCTAAGTAAAAAGAAAAAAAAAAACAAAAAAACAAGAAGAAAGTGGCAGGAGCCCAGGATCAAATAGGGTCTAACCACCTAATCCAAGAGGCAGGTTGGAGGGGAAGAGCCTGGCCCAGGCACGAAGTCCCAAATAAGGAATTGAGGCTAGAGATATGTAAACAGAAAATGACACCAAATGCTGTGAAGAAATATGGGTCAAAAGATATCCAGAAAGTAAATCCAAAACAAAGAGAGTAAAACCACAAGCCTAAGCAGAGCCTCAGGAAAAAAAAAAACCCACAAAGTCTTTGCTACAAAAACATGTAGATAAAATTAATCAAGAGATTAAAAAATAAGAGCTCTGGAGGAAAAATGGGAAGAACAGTTCAGAAAAGAAGATAGAAAACTTTACCCATGTCACAGACTCCCTGAAAATTAGGACAGGACAAACAGAACTCAGCAACTCCATGATACAACAGTAAATATCAAAAAGAAAATAACTGATTGGAAAAATGTAAGATAATTTAAGGAATCTACCACAAAAAAAATAACTCACCTAGAAAACAGGAAGGAGAGAACATGTAAGAATCACTGGACTCCCTGAAAACCATAATCAAAAATTTTTAAAGTCTGGATAGAATATTCCAATAAATTATCAACGACAACTACAGATTCAACAGATGACAAAGTGTAAAAAAAGAAAAGATAATGAATATGCCAGTAATATATTGGGAAAAACCTCCAAAATAAAAAATTCCCAAGAATATCATAGCCAAAACCTAGAATATGCAAGTCAAAGAAAAAAACACTGCAAGCAAAAAGAATGAACTGAAGTACGATTGAACAACAGTCAGGAATACATATGACTTGGCAACATCTACAAAAAAGATGACAAAATCTTAGAACACAATATCCCTAAGACCAAAAGACAAATAATTATCCCACATACTTCCCCACCTCTTAACAGAGAAATGATGGGAAAAAAGATACAGAATGAGACATACATTTTCAGATATGGCCAATGTGTGGATGTTTTGCTTACGTATGCTACTTATTGCAAGAAAGGTTTTAGGGTTGTTTTGTTTTGTTTTGTTTTGTTTTTTGAGAGAAAGTACATCCATGAAGCATTTTTTAAAAATGCACCAAAGAGAATCAAAGCAGGTTCAGAGGGAAGCACAAATAATCAGGACTACTATAGTACTAAGTAAGGTGCTAAACTTAGTATATTCTTTTAAAAAAACCAAGCTATATGTAATCAAGACTGACGGTTTTATATACAATCCTCTTTGTCTGTTCTTTGTGTATGGAAACTTTCATGTTTATTGGTGTCTGTATTGTTCAGAATAGCAAAAAAAATTTTTAAATTTAAAATTAACTATCTACTGATAACTTAATATATGCAATATAAGGAGGCTGGATTGTTCCGGAGGACAAGACCCACTGGAGGGACCTGAAAAGCTGATTCCTTCACCTAAAACTTAAGAATGTGAAATGATTTTCACAAACACAAATAGGAAAAGCATCTGAAGGATCCAAGATACTCAATAAAATGAAATCTAGCCCCTCTCTCCCCAAGGAAATCAAATATGAAAAACCCTAAAACAATTACCTGTTTTTCAACAAAAAGAATTCACTATTCTTTCCTCATATTTCCTCAAACTGGCATCTATTCCAAATTTTTCCGTTACTATCAATTATAACACCATTCTTCTTCCCCCCTCGATTTGTAGTTTTCTTTCCCCTTTCCCAAAACCTCCAAATCCCACCTGTCACAAAATACTGACAATTTTTCTCTCTCATATTCCCACCACAAACATACTAGTTTGGACTCTCATAACTTCACATCCAAACTACTTCAACAGGCTACATGCTAACTTATCTTTAGTCTCTCTCCATTTTAATCCTACACATGACTTTTGTTTTATTGGAGTAGGCGTGGGACATTTTATTTATTTATTTATTCATTCATTTTAAAGAAATAAGAGTACAGCAGAAGTACAAAAACATACTGTGACCTCCAGGGAAAGAATTGAACCTTTCTTAAAAATAATTTTCAATTTTTTTAATTATTTTAATGTAACTGAAGACTGACCAATCAGAACCTGGCCCTAAGAGCTCTGCTTGCTGCCAAATCATATGGAAAAAGTTGGTAACCTGCTTCTAGAAGTGCTTGATGTAGGTAGGGTCCTGCTCTCCACTTCAGAGTATATACAGTTATTCTACAACTATCAATTTACCCTGTGGTGAAGAGGACTTTTAATTGGCTGCTAACTTAGAACTGGCTGTGTGTTTAAAGGGTACTAATTAGCCATCAAATGGAAACCTCTTTTCTGTCTGGATGCATTTGAGTGAAGAGAGAAAACTGTTACAAGGTTCTGGGTAGAGAGAAAGAACTAGTACCAGCAGCCTATTCTCCCCACCAAAGTCAACATCAACCATGAGCACAGGACCTTGATGTTGCTTCTTACTGTGTTTATATTGAAATGTTCAAATTTATTGGTGTTTGTCAAGTTCATTGTAAAGATAGGATTGAAATCAACCTACCCCATTTAGCCAGGATGCATTTATCAGGAGAGAACACATCTTGATTATATTAATCAAATGAGAACGATAAACAATATCTAAATATCTATTTAATCAGACTTTCGATTGAGTTTAAAAAGTCCTTGGATGAACCAGACCAATTCTGACAGTCTTAAAACTGGCCAAGGAAATTTCATCATGTGCTGTGGGTAGAGTGTTCCAAAGTCTTAGTGAAGTTTTAAATAATAGTGGTGATTATGGACATTACTGATCATAATGGAAAAGCTTCCAGCTTTTCTCCATAACATATAATGCTGGCTATTGGTTTTATCATAGAGAAATGTGCATTTATTTTTGAGCTTTTTGTTTTTTATTAACACAAATATATGTTGTACTATTTTTTAAAGTCTTTTTATACATCTATTAATACAATCAAATGATTTTGATTATTTTTAAAATTAACATGATATATATAGTATTCCTAACACTGAACCAACCCTGCCTTGCTGATATAAATACAATCTGGTCTTTTTTTTTTTTTAGGCAATTGGGGTTAAGTAACTTGCCCAGGATCACACAGCTAGTAAGTATCAAGTGTTTGGTCTGAGGCCAGATTTGAACTCAGGTCCTCCTGAATCCAGGGCCAGTGGTCTATCCACTGAGCCACCTAGCTGCCCCACAACCTG